CCGGGCCCCGCGTCCTCCCCTCCCCTCGGCCCCGCTCCCGGAGGCGGGCCCGGCCCGCGCGCGCTCTCCGCTTCCCCGCCCCCCTCTCCCCCCAGCCCGGTCTCGCGTTCTCCCCGCGAACTTTCCCGGGGTGCAGAGCTCCCCGGCGGCTGGCGGGGCCCACTCCCCGACCTCGGGCGGAGAGCGCGGCGGTGCCCAGTCCCCCATGGCCGCGCTCCGCAGAGAACCGGACATGTCCCGGGCCGGGGACCGCGGCGGAGCGCCGGCCAGATGGCTGGGCACGGGGCTTTTGGGTAAGGCAGCCCCGGCTGGGGCTCCCCTCGCGCCTCTGCGGTCCCCCGCCCCGCCGCCGAGGCGGGCACCCCCGGGGAGAGGGGGCGCCGTGGGCGGGCTGGGCGCCGGAGTGCCGCGTGGAGCGCGGACGGGGTGGGGGGGTGTCCCCCGTCTTCCCGCCGCTGGGCATCCAGCCCGGGGAGCGGGGGAGGCCGTGTTCCCGGGGATCCTGGGTGTGACCCCCACTCCAGCAGCCCGCCAGCCTCGCCCGGAGTTGGTTTTGGGGTGTTTTATTTGTCACTGGTTTCTGCAGTCTCTGACGCCTTCGGCTCCAGACTTTTGGAGCCGGGTCTTGGTGGGGCCGCAGCGGGGAGTTCCGGGGTTCGCGCGCGCCGGGGCTGCGCCGCGGGGGAGAGGGTGCCGAAGGCGTTGCACGTGGGATCGTCGGGGCGTGGGGTGGTTTCCACCCCGGTCTGGAACTGTTGGCTTGTTTGCTGGGCATCTGGGAACTAGGAGACCACCCTTTCCTCGGGCCCCTTTTCTGCTAGACTCCTCTGCCTTCTCTCTTCCCCTGCCCTGCAGCTCCAGGTACTGGAAGGGCTTGGAGGGGCTGCAAGACCCCCGCCCCCCAGCCACCTTTTAGGAAGAGCCTTGTCTCTTCGGAGAGACCTGAATGGAGGGCCTGTTTGGCCAGCTCTTGGCTCTTGGTTTTGGGGGTGCCATGTCTAGAGCTCCCAGAGAGAACCCAGTCGTATTAATTAATATCTATTCATGTGGCCCTGGTCGTTCTGAGTGTCACACTCTAAAGAGATTAGGGAATAATATTTTATTAGTCCGGAATTTAATCTCATAAATCACAGCCAGACTTCATTGTAAGCCGACCCCGTCGCTGGCACCTGTGATGTTCCTGAGATTTGGCTTTTGGCAGCTCCCTTCCCTGGTCAGGCCCATGGTAGAGGGCTTTGCGCTGGAGGCAGGCACCCCAGGCCTGGGGTGGGGAGGGACGGGGAGACACATCTGCCCCTGAACCTCTGGTTTATTTACATCCTTGCAGCGGTTTGGACTACAAGTGTGATGTGCAGTCCACAGTGCCGCTAAAGAAGCCGCACTCCTGAGTGCTCAGGCTCCTCCTCGTGGGAAGTGCATAGAGCTACCTCCCCTCTGCCATCAGCTCTGGTCCCCATGGTGGCCATAGCAAGGGGAAGGGGGTCACGGAGGCCTGGGGAAATGTGCCCACTCTACCGGGCGGGCTGCCTCCTCTGCCGTGCCTGGTTGGCTGATGAGATGCCAGGCCCTGGGTTGTTGGGATCTCCATGGTGCCAGGCTTCTGTGAGCAACCACCAGGGTCCTGGACACGGGGTGGAGGTGGCTGAGCAGTGGGATTGGGGCTCTGTGTAGTTTCTCCTGATGGAGGACCCCACATACACACTTCCTGTTCTGCTGGAGTATCAAGTGGAGGTGGGGCCCCACTTGGACCAGGCTAGGAGAGAACCAAGCAGCTCCAGACTGGCCCCACTCCTGCCAGGCCCTGTCCTGGAAGCCACTTGTAGATCCCTCTCCGAGGCAAGCAGCTGACATCTTTGACTGTCTACCAGGAGGCGTGACTCTGTCCCCTGGGAGCACGGGGTGGGCAGGGACTCTGGAAACGAAGTCATGGAGAAGAGCTTTTCTGAGGACGAGGAGGCCCTGTCAGAGACGAGGGTGACTAGCCCAGGGCTGCCTGGTCAACAGGACGGAGGCCGGGCCTCCCAGGCTCTGCCTCTTAGCTACCAGAAGTGGGTGACCAGGAAGGGTCAGAGGGCTTTGCTTAGGGCTGGAGGATGAGTAAAGTTTTGGGGGACATAGATGATACGGTTTGGGGGAGGCAGAGCTGATGATGTCTCTGCAGCTGGGGAGACGGCCTCAGGAGTCCTCTTGCCCTACACCTTATTAAACCCAGAGTCTCAGAGACTGAGACTATAGAGATTTCTGACAACCCAACCAAGGTACCCTTTCCCGAACTGCAGGAATGCCTTTCAAAGCCGCAGCCGAAGTTTATGCGTCCCCGTTCCTCCCTAAGTGCCTAACTGACAATGGATCTGGCCTGCCTACCCCTTCCTTGTTTCCTGATTTGCTTAATTGCTGTGATCTGTGTTTAATTATCACTTGTGAGGGTGTTGTGTTGCACCACCGGCTTTCCCTTGGTGTGTATTTATTAAGGGCCTGTTTAATGAGAGTGCAATTAAGGAGAGGGTGTTCAGTTCCACTCAGAGGAAGCAACCAGCCAGGGTGAATGAATCAGGAGTTACTGTAGGAAAGGAGAGGAGAAGGGAGCAGTGGAGGGTAATGGCGGGTTTGGATCTGGAAAGGATGATTCGTGTTTTGGTTCTTTATGTTTTCTGAATCTTGCTGAAGGCAGGCCTATGGAGACAGAGAAGCCTGAGTCCTTGGATCCTGATCGTGGCTGGGTTCTACTCCATCTTTTGCCGTGGCTGGGCCTTGGGGATAGCCGCATAGACTGTAGATGGGCCTGGCCATCACAACCGTTCCGTAGCCTTGGAGAGGAGGGCCAGGCATATTGCTGGGGCTCGTTTGCAGAGCTGGGCCTGCTGGGCAGCATCTCAGGGGCATGCACTTCTACCCCAGCAAAGCTCCTGGGGGTGGGCAGGAAGCAGGCAGGTTGCCTAGGGTGAGGGAGCTGCACTCCTTCCTTCTATCTGTGGGCCCAGGGGCCTTGCTTCGCCCAGCCCTGCCTCCCACTGTCTCCAGGGCTTGCATCCCAGGAGGGGTCTCTCGTCCTGCTGTTCTCGGCCCACTTTCTGGCTCCCAGCTCTCACTCTGAGCTTCTCTGACTCCCTGGGGCCAGAATGTCTCAGCTGAATTTGCCTGCTTGCCATGCCAGAAGCTCAGAGAGCTAAACTTAGAGTTTAGGACCATCCTGCCCTGGTTCTTCCCTCCGCTTGGAGGAGGATGAGTTGGATTCCTGGTTGTGGGAAAAGATGGAGCAATAGTTCCTGCCTGGCCTTGACCTTGGAGTCTATGATAGTGACCGTCAGATTCCTGCTGGTGTGAATATTTAATAACACTTGCCTGTGTTCAATGCTTTCCCCTCCTCCCCCCCTTTTTTTTTTACTTTAATGCAACTTGAGAATCTATCCTTGATCCTTAGCAGGTTGGCAGGGGGCTGGAGACTTCCAAAGATGGCGGGGGTGGGGGTGGGCAAGGCTGTGGGACCAAGGATGGAATACCAGCGGGAAGACATATTCTCCGACTCCATGGTGTCAGAAAGAGAGGATCCACTCCCAAACACGCATGCCCACACGGCTGCCCTAAGCAGTGAACTTTAGGGCAAAGCAAACCCTTCACTTAGGGAAACAGCCACATGGCAAGAATCCAAGCTGTGGTGCAGGGTTGAAAGTATAAATCAATGCACGAGCATTGGAGGCCCTCTCTGGCTGGCCCTGGTCATTAAGGCAAGCAGGCAGTGGCCTGGTTACATCCACGCTGGAAGGGGACAGCCCCGCCCCGCCCCCCCTTTGAAAGACCATTCTCTTCTCCCTGGCGAAGCTCTTCTTCGGTTTTTACAATCTTGGGTTTTTTTTTTTTTTGGTGTTGTTGTTGTTTTGTTTTTTGGCTTCCCACCAAGCGGAGGGAGGCAGGAAAGTTTTCAGCCTTTCCTGTGCCCGTTTGGGAATCTGCATCCGGATGTAGCGTCTCTGACTTTGTCAAGGTCAGCAGCATGGGGCCGGCCTGGTGTCTGCTCCCAAGTCGGATCCTGGCCATCCTGCTGAAGCAGCCTAGGGAGGGGTGGGGTGGGGGCTGGGGGGGGCTTTGGTGGATCACAGGCCCCCACTTTCTCTTCTTCCTGAAGCACAGCCTTACAGATGAGGGTGCAGGAGGCAGGCCCCAGGAGGCAGGCCCTTGTGCTTTCCTGTGCACCATTCTCCCACGCATAGCTGGCAGGACTCCTGACACCTGGCTAGGCGGCTGGGCGGTAGAGTAGCCAGGCTTGCCTACCTTCGCTGATGCCTTAGTGGAGGCAGGGCAGACTCGGTGGAAACCAGCCCTGCATTTCCCCCTCTCCCCTCCAGGCTACAGAGAAAATAGCACTGCTTCCTTCAGAGAGTCCTGAGTGTATTAGAGTGAAGTCATCCACGTCCAGCAGAAATGCGACGCACCATGCTGTCAGCTAGACTTTAAAGGAATAGGGTTCTCTCTTCCGGACCCTTCCTTTGCTCTTTTTTTGTTTGTTTCTAATCTGTGTGAAGTGATGAAAAGCATTTCCCTTTTGTGATGTGCATCTTTTGTGTTTTGAAGTGTGTATGTGTGTGTGCACGAGCGTGTGCATGTGCACGAGCGTGTGCACGCGTGTGCTAGTACTGAGGCTTGAACTTAGGACCTGAGACTGGTCCCTTAGCTTTCTTGCTCGTTTGGTGCTCTGTCACTTGAGCTACAGTCCCATTTTCTGTCTTTTGGTGGTTAATGAGAGTTGGGTTTCGCTGCTGGCAGATCTCAGCATCCCAAATAGCTAGGATTATAGATAGGTGTGAACCATCAGCACCTGGCATGAATTTTTTTTTTTTTTGCCAGTCCTGGGGCTTGAACTCAGAGCCTGGGCCCTGTCCCTGAGCTTCTTTTGCTCAAGGCTAGCACTCTACTACTTGAGCCACAGCACCACTTCTGGATTTTTCTGTGTATGTGGTATTGAGGAATCAAACCCAGGGCTTCCTGCATGCTAGGCAAGCACTCTGTCACTAAGACACATTCCCATCCCCTAAATTTGTATTTAATTTTTTGAGGCAAGGTTTTGCTAAGTCCCTCAAGGCTGTCCTTGAACCCTCAGCCTTTCAGGTGCTATGATTGATTCCAGATGGGTGCCACCCACCTGGCTTTCTTTTTTCAGGGGAATTTGGCCCTGATTTGAATTCCTACACCTTCCCAGGGACCCCAGTTCCTGGGCCAGGTTGCCCATGGCTATGGGAATGGGAGCTGTTGGACTCCCTGCAGTTCTGAACGAGCCCAGTGGCTACCGGGAAGTTGCCTTCTGTGCTTCCCTGTCTCCCACCTTGCACCCAAATTTTCTTGGTTTGTGGGGCTATGGGAGGGGTGAGAAGCAGAGCTGGGGTCCCCCACAAGGCCGTCTTCTAGTGCTTGCACTAGGCTAGAGACTGGAATCTTATGTCTGAGTCTGCTTCTTAGGTCTCTAGAAGGAGTCAGAGTAGAGGAGGGTGAGGCCGGAGGGAAACCAGGAATTCCAGGGAATCTGTGTGTGTGTGTGTGTGTGTGTGTGTGTGAGTGTGAGTGTGTGTGTGTGTGTGTGCGCGTGCACGTGTGTGCGTGCGTGGGTGCATGCATGTGTACAGGCTTGTGCAGGCATACATGCTGGCACTGGAGCTTGATCTCAGGGCCTGGGCACTGTCCTTGAGCATTTTTGCTCAAGGCTGGCACATTACCACTTGAGCCATACCTCCATGTCTGGCTTTTTGGTGGTTAATTAGAGATGAAAGTGTCACAGACTTCCCTGTCTGGGCTGGCTTTGAACTGTGATCTTCAGATCGGGGCCTTCTGAGTAGCTAGGGTTCAGCCACCCAGCTGAGTCTGTCTATTTGGGGGTGTTTGGAGGGAGTTCCTTGCTGATACTGACCTGCTTCTCTTGTTGGCTTTAGACAAGTTCCCTAACCTCTAAGCCCAATTGCTTTGTCCTTACTGAGGACCTGTAATAGTACAGTACTCACAGGGAAGGTGTGAGGAGGAAATATGCCCGGCTTATGGTAAATGCTCAGTCAATGTCAGCCATTACTGCTCTTACTGACTCTGGCAGGGGGTGATGATTGGGTTTCCTGTGATTTCTGAGTGGGGTGGTGGGGGTAGGGTATGAGCTCTTCACTTTCCAGCCAGAAGCAAGGGGGAGGGGCAGGCCAGGAGGCCCTGAGAACAGCACCAGGCTGCCTGCATTCCGTGGCGCTGCATCTCTGGCATGTAGAACACAACGTTGTGTGGAAGCAACTACATCACCATTGTCTCCTGTGGGCAAAACAAGAGGAAACTAGCTTACGACACTGCACGGGGGAATTGCGCTAGACAACAGAGCGCTTTCCTTGGGAGTAGCTTTTCATTCCCCCTAGATGCCCGAAGTTAGTCATACAATCTGATCCAATGACCTTGAGGCAAATGGGGGTTCCTTGAGGAATGTGCGGGACCTGGGGGACAAGGCCTGAGTGTCATTTCGAGGATGCAGGAGGATCAAGGGGAGTCGAGGCAAAGCACAGGGATGCACTGTAATGATGTCTCATGTGGGGGTGGGGGAGTGAGAGGCTGGAGCCCCAGGGGCCTCCCCGTGGAGGCCAGGAGGGGACCAGAAGCTGCTGGCCACTACCGCCTTGCACGGATATCTTCACAGCCTCGACTTCCCCCTCCATGCTTGCCTTGCTGGCTTGGCCCTAGTACTGCTGGCAAGGTCCAGCCTGCAGGTGTCCCTCTGCCCCTCTGCCCTCCCTGCCCCCCTCGGGCAAGGCGGGGAACAATGCATGACTGTCTTTTTCTTTCACCTTAGGGATCTACCCCGTTTCCCCTCCCTCCCCCAATCCTGTCGAACCTGGGGAGCTTGTGCAGTCTTAAGGGAAGTGCTCACACATAGAGAAGGAGAAGTGCTCACACACTGTTCCCATGGGGTGGGGTGGGGCTGCGGCCCCAGGTGAGTGGACCGGGGAAGGGTAGCTTGCCAGTGCCTCCTTTTCTTGGATTCGGGCGACCCCTAGTGGTTGCCTCGGATGCTACAAGGACTACGTCGCAGCCCAGAATGATATCCCTTCCCCACTAAAGGGTGAAATAGCCGGGCGCTGGTGGCTCACGCCTGTAATCCTAGCTACTCAGGAGGCTGAGATCTGAGGATCACGGTTCCAAGCCAGCCCGGGCAGAAGAGACCGTGAGACTCCTATCTCCAATAAACCACTAGAAAACCGGAAGTGGCGCTGTAGCTCAAGTGGTAGAGTGCTCGCCTTGAGCTGAAGAGCTGAGGGACAGCGCCCAAACCCCACGACCGACCAAAAAAAAAAAAAAGGGTGAAATAGTGTTGTGGGGGAGGGGAGCGGGGAGAGGGGTAGAGTGGCAGGGTCGAGTGCCCAGGTGGTGTTAGAGAGAGCTGCTCACCTGCGGTGGACTTCGAGGAGGACAGAGGCCTCCCTGCCCAGCTGAGCGCTCCTCCCAGCTCTCCTGTGTGGGCTTCTACTAAGGGAGGCTGCCCCTCACAGGGCTTGTCCTGCTGCTCCCCGCATCCCTGTCGCTGGAGGTGTCCGTGGGGAAGGCCACCACCATCTACGCGGTCAATGACTCCCAGGTGCTGCTGCCCTGTACCTTCTCCAGCTGCTTCGGCTTTGAGGACCTCCACTTCTGGTGGACTTACAACCACAGCGACACATACAAGATCGTAAGTCCCGCAGGAGTTCAGGACATCTGGGCCTTCTGCCCTGGGCCCTGCCCCTTCGATGCCCCCCTTGCCACAACCCTCGGAACCTACCTTTTGTTCCCTTTTCTCCCCATATGCCTTCCAGACAGATGGCCTTGCCAGAATTTGGGGGTCTTTTGGACTTCTTGGCTAGAGTCCTCTGTCTGGCTTTAAGGAAAACCTGGAATTTGGATTGCTTGTGTAAAAAGTTAATAGTTGAACATCCAGATGTGGTGATGTACACCTGTAATCCCAGCTCCTTGGGAGCCAGAGGATTGTGGTCTTTGGCTGGCCAGGGCAAACACTCCAGATTATGTCTTAAAAAAAAAAAAGCAAAAAGGTGCTTAGGTTGTGACCAAAGTGGTAGAGTGCTTGCCTAACAAGTGTGAGTCTTTAGAGAAAGGGAATGAGAAAAGTTCAATGAAGAAGAGCTGGAGGCTGAACTTGGAAGGAAGGGGGAGCAGGGTAGAATGGGGTATTTACAGTGATTATGTAGAAAAGCTTTTATGAAGAGAAAGAACTGTGTTGCATTCCAGGGACACTTTAATCAAAAAAGGAAATGGATTTCCCTTGAAACAGGTGTTTAACAGGCAGAGCTGGTAGAAGAGGGAGAGGGTGGATGCAACCATTATGGGCTCTTCTTAGACCTGCAGGTGCCCAGCGGTGGGTCGGTCGTGGGAAGGAAGAGACAGGGCTGGAGGGGGAAGGGGTGGGGCTGGAGGGAGCTCTGGACCCTTTCTGACTGATTCTCCATTGGTTGTCTCAGCTCATTGATGGGATTGTGAAGAACGAGAAGTCTGACCCCAGGGTGAGGTTTAAAGATGATGCACGCCTCACCCTGGTGGGTAGCACCAAGAACAAGATGAACAACATTTCCATTCAGCTGAGTAACCTGGAATTCAGTGACACTGGCAAATATACCTGCCACGTGAAGAACCCCAAGGAGAAGAATCTGGAGCACAGTGCCACCATTTTCCTCCAAGTCGTTGACAAACGTAGGCCGTGGGTCTGGGGACAGGGACGGCAGGGGAGTGGGAAGGACTCCAGGGTGCCGGGCCTGCCTCAGTGTTAGCGTGAAATGGAGAAACTATGCTGGCCAGACGCTAATCCTGACTACTCAGGAGGCTGAGATCTGAGGATCAGCCCAGTTCAAAGCCAGCCTGGGTAGGAAAGTCTGTGTGACTCTTTTATCTCCAAGTAACCAGCAAAAACCAGCAGTGGAGGCCTGGCTCAAGTGGTAGAGTACCAAGTCTTGAGCAAAACAGCTAAGTGAGAGGGCAAAGCCTTGAGTTCAGTACTAGTGCAGACAGACAGACAGACAAAAGGGATATGCTAGCCACTTCCTTCCGGAATGCTTGTGAGGGTGAGGGAGTGAGGCAAAGCCCCCTGCCCCCCCCCCCGCTGCCCCTGGTGCATAGTCTGTTAGCACCCATTGGTGGAATGCCAACTGTTAACCCCAAAACCTGTTGGGAACGGGTCTAGCGTTGCAGTTCAGGGTAGAGCACAGGATAACAGACCGAGGAGTAGTGACACAACGGAGGGAGATGACCACGCCAGGGTCCCTCCCCCCTGGGAGCCATCTTCTAGTCGGGGACTCCAGTGTGACACAGGAGGCCCAAGGAGCCAGGTGGTCACCAGAATCCAGCTCTGTGGGGAGGTAGAGAAGCGGGAGGTGATCCGCAAGTGGGACAGCCTGGTGCTGCAGAGGAGTCTGGGAGACAGAGTACAGGAGCCAGGGGAAGAGAAAGGGAGCGAGTGGTTCAAGGGTTTGTCCTCTGTCGCCATCCTGGATGATGGGGTTCGGTTTGGGCTGGGCCAAGGGCCGAGCCAGGAGCCTTTGCTGAGCCTGGAGCCTTGTCTTCCAGTCAGTATGCGGGGTTCCTCTGTCCCTCCCACCCCCCTCCCACCCCGACCCGATTCCTCTCATTGGCTTTGTGCTCAGCAAGGGATGGTTGGGACCAATTAGTCTGGAAGTCAGGCCTTGAGATAGAACTCTTCACCCTTGCTCCTTGGCTCTTCCAGAATGTCCGGTCAGGGGGCTGCCTGCCCCCTCCCCCGCTTTCTAGGCCAGGGCAGGGATCGCATTGTGTGTGAACATGGGGTGCTGGGCAGAAAAGATAAAGTGGCGGAGGAAGCCTGTGTTTGCAGGAAGGCCAGGGTGTCCAGAGCTGGCTGGAAAAGGTGGCGAAGAAGGCAAGATGGGAAGCCCTGAGGGGCTTTTTTGGCTAGAAAGCCATGTTAAATGCTCACAGGGCAACTCGAGGGCATAGTCATGAGTCAAGGCTGGGCATCCAGGGCTCCCTGTCTGAGTTATTCCCGAACTTGCACACGAGTCTGTGGGAGGTTGGGGGAGCTAAGCTTGGTGGCTGCCTTGTTCCTGCTTCTCCTGCATCTGTAGGCCTGGGAGGGCTGATGGCCTGGGGCTGGCCCCTGGTGACTGTGGTGTCCCCTCCCCCCCCCCGGCCGGGCAGTGGAAGTAGTGGACAATACGGTGACGCTCATCATCCTGGCCGTGGTGGGCGGGGTCATCGGCCTCCTCATCTTCATCCTGCTCTTGAAGAAGCTCATCACCTTCATCATCAAGAAGACCCAGGAGAAGAAGTGAGTCAGCCTCCTCTCTGTACCCCTTCCTGTGCCTCTAATCTCCTGGTCCCCTGGTTCTGTCTTTATCTGTCCCTTTGTCAACTTATTGAAGCCTGTCATCCTAGCTATTCAGGAGGCTGAGATCTGAGGATCGTGGTTCAAAGCCAGCCTGGGCAGGAAAGTCTGTGAGACTCTTATCTCCAATGAACCACCAGAAATCTGGAAATGCTGCTATGGCTCAAGTGGTAGAGTGCTCAACCCCCCCCAAAAAAAAATCAACTTATTGATACTTGTATATATGTGTTTTTTTTAGTACTAGGCTTTAAACTTAGAGCCTCATACTTGGTCAGTTTGTGCTCTGCCACTTGAGCCACATCTCCAACCCTGCTTTTTGCTGGTTATGTTTGGATGGATTCTTGTGATTTTTCTACCCAGGGCTGGCTTTGAGTTTCTGTTCTCTGGATCTCAGCCGCTGGAGTAGCGAGGATGACAGGTGTGAGCCACCAGCACAGGGTTTGCATGGGTTATTTTTGAAGAAGGGTATCGCTTTATGTCTGGGCTCAGATCTTTCCTGTATCTCTGAGAATGGAGCATGTGGCTCACTGTGTCTAGCCATTGGTTGGGATGGAGTCTTGCAAGCTTCTCATTGAATAGGTCTCAAACCATGATCCCCCAAACTCCAGCACCAAGTAGCTAGGACTACAGACTTTGAGTTATGGAACCCAGCTATTGAATATATATAGTTGATTAAGTTTGTAAATATCCTCCATTCATTCCTCCTCTCCTTGCTGTCTTCTTTCCCATCCTATTTCTATCCTCTCCCTTTTCATTGGTACTTGTACACCTGCTGGAAAGATCTACTAAAACATTTAGGAAGCTCCATCCCTCCTTTGTTTGTTTGTTTGTGGTATTCCTGGGGCTTGAACCCTGGGCCCCTGGGCACTGTCCCTGACCTTCTTTTGCTCAAGGCTAGTGCTCTACCACTTGAGCCACAGCTCCATTTCTGGCTTGTTTGGTAGTTTATTGGAGATAAGAGTCTTATAGACGTTCCTGCCCGGGCTGGCTTCAAACCGTGATCCTCAGATGTCAGCTTCCTGAGTAGCTAGGATGACAGGCGTGAGCCACGGGCGCCCCGCACAAGAGACCGTTTACACGAGCTCTGCCCCTCCCATCCGCGCACTGCCAAGGAAGTGGGCCAGGCTTACACTGGAGCCCACCCAGCCTGGGCAGTCGGGGTGTGGATCCCAGGAGGTGCCCTTTACCACGTGTGATTCCTCTGCTTCTGCCCTGTCTGCCACCCTCTGCTGCCCTCCCCTTCCTCCCGCAGGGTCCTAGCTGTTCTCCCTCTCCTCCAGAGCTCGGGGAGGGAGGGAGGGACCAGTGGGCCCTGTGGGGAGGAATTCTATATCCCCAGCCTATTCCTTCCTCCTATTCCCTGGGGGGGCATAGCCCGGATGTAACCCCTGGACACAGTGCCCGCCCTCATTGGCCTCCATTGTGAGGAGTCAGGCTGTGGCTGATTAGGCCACTGCCAACCCTTCCACGCGCCCTTACTCCTGAGAGGAAGCTGCTCCCACGATGGCTGGCTTATCCAGCTATAGAGACCCAGAGAGCTAAGATGACTTAGCCGTTGGCTCTCTTAGCTCTTAGAAGCCTGGGCCCAGGGCTGGGCACGGGGTGGGGCGGGGCACAGCTCGGCTCTCCTGTTCACCTCTTCCCCTCACCATGTTCCCTTTCCCCTTCTGCAGGAAGGAGTGTCTCGTGAGCTCCTCCGGGAATGATAACACAGAGAACGGGCTGCCCGGCTCCAAGGCGGAGGAGAAGCCACCGACAAAAGTGTGAGGCCCCGAGGGGGGCCCAGCAGCGTGGGGAGCCCCGCTTTCTGATGGCCACCTTGACGCTTGAGCCCTGTCAGTAGAACCCACGTGCCCGATCTATCTGCTGCTTGGCTCCAACTGTAGTGTCTCTGGGCAGGAAGGAACCGGCGTCCTTCCTGGCTTGTCTCCGCTTCCTCCGCCCTTCCCCAGCTGTCCAGGCACGAGGGCTGGCCAGCGGAGCGGCCTGCAGAGGGTTGAGGAGAGGGAAAGGAGGGGGCTTGTGGTGTGAAGGGGCTGGTCCCCAACACCTGGGAAGATGGGCTCTCCTACCTGAGTGACCAGAACCTTGGTTTTCCTCCTGATTTATTTTTTTCTTCACCGATTGGGACCTGGGCGGCGGGGTCAGTAAGGATTCCCTCAAAAGCTGGACCGTGTAGATGGGTTGAAGGAAGAGCCCTGTATGGACAGTAAATGCTTTTGATGGTGGAAGCCAGCTGGCGGACTGTGGAGAGGACCTGGGAGCAGGCCTGAGGGTCACATCAGAGGCAAACTAGGCTTTTGGGGATACCTGATCTTTCAAGGCTGTCTCTGAGCTGACCCCTTCCCCCCCAGCTGGGGAACTTCCCTCCCCCCCACTTCCCTCTCATAGGGGCGCGGTGTTGGCCTTGTCCCAGCCTCCGCTTCCAGGTCCATACCCTGCTCGGAGTTTCTAACCTTCCCAAGTTTTCCCAAGGTTTTTCCAGCTGCTTCCTGCTCAGCTGGACCTCTTCTCCCTGCCCAGGACTGAGGAAGGGCAGAGGGAGGCTGGCCTCCACTTGTCTCCTGCTTTCTACACCGCTGGTTTGCACACCCCTTCATTGTGGGGCTAGACTGTGCCTTAGCTCCCCGAGTCCTGGCTTTTACCCTCTCCTCTTTCGCTCCGCAGCCCAGCCCTCGGAACTGCACACTTCCCGGTCTTCCACACGGTGGGGGGGGGCCCCGGTGAGGCTGGAGGCAGGTTGGCGGAAACCCCCTCCCCCCCGGGCTGGCCACTGGGTCTTGGAAACCCCTGTGAGGGCGCTCCTGTCTAGACCAGGAGCTGTGGTGGTGAGGCTGGGTCTTCCGATGGGTCTGACTTCAGGATCCCAGTGAGGTGGACACCGGGAGGGGTGAGGGCGGGTCCTCTGTCTGCTCTCTCCCCTCCTCTCCCCTGCTGCACGGCTGACTTTGTCCTGGGGCCTGGGGGTGGTCCTAGGGAAATCGAAAGGAGCAGTTCTTTTCTGGAAGGTGAGGACTGCCTGGGGTTCTGCCACAGGCTCCCCATGGTGACAGCTGGAGGGACAAACAGCCGTCCCCACGGGTGCCTGTGGCTGTGGACAGTGCCCCCATCTCAGTCAAATCCCCTCTGATCTGCCTCTTCTTCCTCTCTGTCGAGAACCCCTGCAGGGCTCAAGTTCAGATCTCCGTGGTTTCCAGAGCAGCCAGACATTCAGGAAACTTCTAGCTGCCTTCACGCACAACTGCTGTGTTCTCCTTTCCCTGCACTAGCACGGGGAGAGGTCGTCTCTGTCTCCCCAACGACGGCTAGCGTGCGGGCGGCTCCTGCAGCCCCTCCCAGCCTTTGCCATCTGTCTGATGGGCGTTATAACTTACCTACCTCACGGTCTGTGGTGAGGCTTGGCGAGTTCGGGCTTTGATAGAGCGGTTTGGCTTGAAAAGGCATCTGGGAAGCAGGTTTTATAAATGGAGTGATGGCTCCAAGTCTTTCTTGTCCTCATCTTGTGACCCATTCCTGCATACCTTCTCTCTCTCTCCCTCTCTCTCTCTCTTTCTCTTTCTCTCTCTCCCCCTTTCTCTTTCTCAGCCTCTCCACACCTCCCCCCTGCAGCTCTCCAGTCTTTGTCATCTTAGCAACATCAACTCCAATGGATGCTTTAGGTTTCTTAACCACAGCTTTTTTCCCCTTCTTTTTTGGTGGTTTTCAGCAGAGGGATTGGAACTGGCGGCAGGGCAGGGGAGGGGATAGTTTTGGTCATTCCAATGTCTGGGACACCCCTGGCACTTAGTGGGTGGAGACGAAGAATGTGAGGTCTGACATTTTTGCCACACAGACTGCCAGGTCCCCAGAGCCAGTGTTGTGCCCCTGGAGAATCACTGTGTCCGATTTGCAATCATCTGTAAAGAGGCGAAGCTGTTTTTCCCACGCATGGCAGTCTCCCTGAGTGGCCTCCAGGACCAGTGAGCTGACCAAGGTGATCCTGAACCTAGTGAACCAGAACTGAGCATGCGCATGCTGACAGTGCCATCCATGAGAGGAAGTTCAGAGCTCCTCGCCCTTGACCTTAGAACAGGACATTATTGGAGGTCCTGGGTTCTCAGCCAGGATGGAATTGCGCGGGTGGGGGGAGCGGGGGGCTGGCTTTTCTGGCTTCCTTTGACAGATCTGGCTGCAGGTGTGTGCTTGTGAGCACCTGTGCAGACGGCGGGTCTGCGGAGGGGGGTGGGCTGTGCAGATGCCAGGTAGGGGGCTCCACACGGGCCAGGCGCCATCTTCCCTAGCTCGAGTTGGAAACTGACGAAGAATAAGAGATGGGGCCAGTCATGCTCCTCGATTCTGTCTGTCTGCAACCCCATCCATCAGTGATAAAACAGATGGCAGCGGAGGGGTGGAGGGAGCGGGGTTCTGGGGGACACCTTTCAGCTTGCTGCACTCTGACCCAGGCTGGAGTCCCGCCCCTCCCACCTGACCTGGGCGCTTCTGACTAGCTTATGCATGGTTTATTCCTCTGGCTTGGAAGACAATTCCCATAGCGAACTTTCCTATATAACTATAGATCTAAGGACACTGACAGGCCTTGGGGGCGGGGAGGGGCCCTCTGGGACGTGTGCACCCTCCTGCCCTGTCCCCCCAGTACTGACTCCCTGTTCAAGCACAGAATGAACACGATCAGACTGTTCTGCTTCTACAAACGATTTGCATTGTAGAATTGTACTTAGCTTTGCTTTGGATGAAATAAAAACTATTTTTAATACATTGTGAGGTTTGTGTTTCCTCTGGGGCTAGCTGGGAGCTGCTAAGGGCATGGGGCCGATGGGCTCTTCTGGATAGTGGAGAGAGAGGATCCTGAGGAGGAGGAGGCCCAAAGAGGGCTGGGGAGGAAGGGCCCAAAGGCAAGGTGCAGCCATGCCTTCTACCCCAAGGTAGCCAAAGAACAGAGGAGCCCCTGCTCAGTGCAGGGCGGGTCCTGATCATGGTCATCAGAGGCCCCAGTAAGTCCGGCAGAGTGAGCTGGGATGGCCAGGTGAGTGGTAGAAACTTGGTTCCAGATTGTGGAGGAGTGGGGGCCTGGGGGAGGGGCGGCGGCAGCAGCGCATAAGGTTATAGCTCTTGAGTTGAAGCTCCAGAGCTGCACCAGAAAAATGAAACGGCTGCACAGAGATGTTTTCAGATTAAAAAAAGAATTTCCCTAGCATCCAACCCCAGAGACAACCTAATTATCCTTTGACAGGCAGGTGGATGTATTAGATTGATGCTATAACCCCAAGGTGGAGTACTTTATGCAGAAAAGGGTTTTGTGCAGTTCGTAGTGCAGGAGGCGTAAACATGGCTTCTGCTCGCCGGCCCTGCTGGTGGATGGGACCACGATGGCAGAGGCACGGGGAGGAGTCAGTGTTACCTGAAGAACCACTCTTGAAGTACTGGTCTGCGGCTCCCATGATGGGTGTTCCGTGGCCTAACTACCTCCTATAAAGCTCCTCTTCTTAAAGGGCCTGACACCCCCAACACTGGGAATCTGTTAGGCCTTACCATTCTAGCTTCTATTCCTCATGGCCAGGTTTTCATATTCTATCTAACTCCTTATCTCTTTCTGCTATAATCGAAGTGGCTATCATAATTCACTTATTCTCTCTCTTTCTGTCTCTCTCTTGCCAGTATTATTTTTTTGAACTGAGAGCCTCCTTGTACATGCTCAGTTTGTATGCTCAAGTGGTGCTCTACCATCTGAACCATGCCTTAAACCTGACTTTTTGCAATTATTTTTTTTGGGGGGTCTGGTCATGGGACCTGAACTCTGGGCCTGGATGCTGTCCCTCAGCTCTTCAGCTCAAGGCTAGCGCTCTACCACTTGAGCCACAGCGCCACTCCTGGCTTTTTTCTTTTTGCTTATGTGGTGCTAAGGAATCAAACCCCGGGCCTCAGGCATGCAAGGTAGGCGCTCTACCACTGAACCACCTTCCCAGCCCTGCAATTATTTTTGGAGATGGAGTCTTGTGGACTTTTCTGGCTGGGCTGGCTTTGAGCCTTGATCTTCATATTCTAGCTTCCTGAGTAGCTAGGATGACAGGCCTGAGACATCGGTGCCTAGCTCACTTCTTTCTTACTCTGTGTCTTATACGATTTTTTACCACTCAGTCTGTGTTTCATTTTCACAATTACAGTGTTTACTTCTGCGAGTGCTATTGTGTTTTCCTTGGAATCTCCTTGTCCTATTTTCCGATTGCTAAAACACTTTTTTTCAACAGCAAGTTGCAAGTGTTGGCGAGGAAGGAGATTTAAGTTCTTGTGGACTGTTCCACATAAAGCCCATGGTAAAAGGGTGGGTAACGGTAGCAGCTACAGACGTGAGGTGATGACGTTTACATTACAACTGGTTTCTTGCTGCAGTGGGCTTAGGAATAGATGAAGGAGGGGAGGGCTGGTCAGACTCTCCTCCTCCACTCAGCGTTGGTGACCTGGGCTCCCATGACAGAGTCACTGTCCATTCAGTAGAGAGGAAGTGCTCCTTCTTGGCCTGCCATGGGGGTCCACAGGTTGCTTCTCTGGGATTCTGGGAGCCTGGGGGTGGCTGAGCTCACACCGCTGCCTTCCCCAGAGCTCTGGAAGCCTCTCGCAGGAATGGAGATCCTCCATTGCTCTGAGAAATATGGGGCTCTGATGGGGGCTCCGGCTCTGTGTCTGACTTCTGGGGGGTTCTGGGGGTGCAGGGCAAGGGCGGGAAGCAGCTCAGTACTGAAGAGGGTCAGCGGCTTTACGGCTCAGACTGGAATTAAAAAAAATGGAGATTAAAAAAATGGTCTGAGGATTTGCAACTGGATCAAGTGGTAACAAGGGGCAAATTATCTTCATTTTAGGAGGTCCCCCCCCCGCACCATTCTCTCTCATTCATTCTCCCCCTCTCTCTCTCTCTCTCTCCTCCAGGAGCTGGGAAATCTCAACATCCTTTCCATCCCTCTGATCACAAGCTTCTCTCTGGAAAGAATCCGACAGTCTCATTCTGAGAGAAAAGTGAGAATGTTTAAGCTCTCTGCCGCATACCACCCTGAGCCTCAGTGCACTTACAGAAAATCTCTACCCTGAGTTAAATTTGGCCTTCACGAAGGAATCTTAGGCTGTTGGCTTCCGGGGAGGGAAAATGATTTGGATGTACAGGGCTGTCAGAGCCACTGAAATGGAGGCCAAGGGTGGTTTGTTCCCTCCTGGTGGAGGGTGGGTGGGAGGGAGGGTAACAGAGGTGGGGACACACACACACACACACACACACATACACACTCACCTTCCGGACGGTGTAGATCCAGTCAAGATAGGCTGTGACCTTGGTGTACACTCCTGGAGTGCTGGGACCCCCACAGCCATAGCCCCAGCTCACAATGCCCACCACCTGCCACTGGTCAGACTGGTACATCAAGGGCCCGCCGCTGTCACCCTGTGAGGGGCCAGAACAGGGGCTGCTGGGAAGGGAAGACAGGGTGGGGGCCACCCCTCCCCCCTCTTCTAGCTAACTGGAACAGGTCCACTCACCCCTGGGCACCCAGCAGGTAGGTCTGCCTTCACCTGGGTTCTCATTTTGTTCAATGCTCTGTCTGCCTGGGGTCAAGGGGGTCTGTGTGGGGTCAAGAAGAGAGTGGTGCCGTCAGCCCACTCTCAGTTCCTGAGTTTATTTAACAGCTCAAAGGAATGACTATTTTGTGTCAGTTACTATTCTGAGCAACTGAGATCTGGTTACTTGGAAAAAAGATCCTTGTGCTTATATTGTAATCATATGGGAAGTGAGTCACTAAACAACTAACAAATCAAGAAATGCACTTATTGGGTGCCTTTATTACTGACTTTCTGAACTCAAGAATCATAAAAGGAACGGCTGTTTGCGTGCCCTCATCTTGAATGAGGGCTTTCATGGCTGGGAGTGGGGGAGTAGGATTGCCTGTATCTTAGCTACTCAGGAGGCTGAGATCTGAGGATCATGGTTCAAAGCCAGCCCAGGCAGGAAAGTCCATGAGACTCTTATCTCTAATGAACCACCAGGAAACTGGAAGCAGAGCTGTGGCTCAAAGTGGTAGAGTTCTGGTCTTAAACAAAAAACGCTCGGGGACAGTGCCCAGGCCCTGAGTTCAAGCCCCACAACGGACAAAAAAGAAAAAGAAAAAAGAAATCTTCAAACAAAGGGTTCCACAGGCCCTCTGGAAGCATGGGTGGAGGGAATGTGCACAGACCACTGAGCAGTCCTATGACAATGTGCCAGGGCTCATCTAGCATGAGGTTTTCCCTTTTCTTATGCAGGAGAGTAGGATATTCACAGGGATCAGAGACCTGGCAAAGCTGCCCAGAGGAGATCATAGTCCTGTGGATGATGAGGGAGGGGAGAGATGATAAAAGTGGGAGGAGAAGGTGAGTAGTGTCATCTTTGTATGTGAAATGGGCACGTATAATCTTTCTGCTTGTTAAGATCCATCCATCTATCAATTGATCCATCATATCCATAGATCCATCCATCCATCCATCCATCCATCCATCTATCTACCTTCTCATTTTGATCTTAGCCAAAAGGTTGAGCAGCAATCCACTTTTTAAAAAAAAAAGATTTTTTTTTTGTTTCGTACCAAAACAGAGCTTGAACTCAGGGTCTTAAACTTGCTCAGCTTGCTGGCTCAGCTGGCACTTGACCACTTGAACCACACTCCAGCCCAGTTTTTTTTTTTAACTGGTTATTTTGGAGATGGAGTCTAGTGGACTTTTCTGACCAGGCTGGCTTTGAATCGGGATCCTTGGATGTCAGTCTCCCTTCTGAGTAGCTAGGATTACAGGAATGAGCCATCTGTGCCCAGCCCATTCTTTATATTTTTATCCGACTCGATTCCTTCTTCTCTTCCCTCATGACACAATGAGGGCCCGCTATTTGCAAGACGTCGTGTAAGGCAGCCAGCCTCCAGGTTTTCACATCTCTCTAGGACCTACATCTCTACTGAAAGAGTTTCCCATGATCCTTAGAGAACCCACCTGGCAGGTATCCACACCACCACCTGGGAGGCCTGCGCACAGCATCTTCTCGCTCACTTCCCCCTGGTAGGCATCCTCAGCGTTGCACCGTGTGCTGTCGATCACCTGGACTGTCGCCTGCAGCAGCGTGTCAGACATCTTTCCTGGGAGGATGGAAACATGTCCATTCTCATTCTTGCCTCTAGCCTCATCTGGGTTAAATTCTCTGGGTCATCAAGCTCTTGGAGCCCAACCTCATACAAGGGCATCTGTCACCCTGCAGTCCTGAGCCCAGGACTTACCTCCATTCTGCTCTGTCAAGCCCCATCCGATGACCCAGAGCGGGGTGGCTGGTGCGAGCGTCTCATCAAAGAAGGGCAGGCAGATGGGTCTCACTGTGGCTGTGATGGAGCAGAGAGAGGGGAGGGAGAGAGACAGAGAAGGAGGGAGGGAGAGACAGAGAGGGAGGGAGGGAGAGACAGACAGAGAGGGAGGGAGAAAGAGATCAATCTTGTATTAATGATCAGTATTTTATTTTCTGTGTTTTTCCATGCTTTGACATGTTGGGGATCTTGCTGGTCTGGGAGTGACTGGGTAAGTTAATTCCTAGCGATAATTAATAATGATAATTCCATATCTCAACCACCCTAAAATTTATTCCCGGTCCCAGATTACCTCGGGGGCAATTATTAGACAATTTGAAACCAACTTCTATAGCTCAGAGAATTATTCACACTCTGTAGCCCCAAACTTGCTCAAACTTGTCTAGCCAACCTTGCCTGGGGCTTTCTGTGGCCCCCCAGGTAGGCCCTCCCTCTTGTCTGCCTGCTGAGCCAGTGGGCCCCATGTGGCCCCACCCCGAGTGAGGTGAGGACTGTGAGGATTAAATGTTGTCTCTATGACCACCACTTCACCACCCTCATTAAAACAAGCGTCAGACCCAGGGGTCAGGAAAGCCTGGCAGCCGAGGCCTGAAAGGGACCTACCAGTGTTTCTATGACATTTCTTTTGTGGGATGCAAATAGACATGGTATGAAAAAGAAAAGGCTTTTGTGGTAATATAAGTTTGGAAAACAGCTTCTTTAAAAACTTCTCTTACCCTCAATAGATGATTGTGTTTCAAGAAGGAAACTGTAGTCTACATATATTTCCCAAACTTATTTGATAATGGAACTCTCTCTTCCCTAAAGGATCTTGTGGAACTTCCTGTTGGAAATGCTTTATCTTAAAATTGATTCAATAGAAAGCTGGGGCATGTAATAGAGTTGTTCAAAGAGTCTCTGGGCTGCCTTAGGAGTAATGAGTGCCCCAGGCCTGGAAGAAAGCAAGCCGGGCTCAATGGCCGAGTCTGCTGGGCCTTCCTCAGAGCTGGGGAATGAACTGGCTCATCTTCACAAAAGGCCCTTATGATTCCAAGACTGAGGTGATCTCGGATCCTCACTTGAGGATCAGGCCTTGGAAGAATTTTCAGGAGGATGGCAGATGGGGTGAAGCTGACAGCTAGAAGGAGCCCGTGACATGGGGCTCATTCGTTAATTGGAGACAAACAGGCAAGTTGAGGTTTTGAGACAGGATGTGATGGGCTCCAGGTCACTCAGTGTGCTGGAGGCAAGGTAAGGTAAGAGAGACCCCAGGAATCTCTCTCCCCAGGAACGTCTCTCACCTGAGAATGTGAGTGGGTGCTGCAGCTTTACGAGAGCAATGTCCTTCTCCTTGGGGGACAAGGGGTTGTGTTTGGTGACGAAGATCTTGGCCACAGGCAGGGATGGGAAATTGCCCAGTTGGTCTGAGCCGGCCCTCACTTTCCAGTTGGACACATCCAGATACTTCCTGGGAGCAGAGATGGTGGATTCAGGCTGGAGCCAGGCAGGAGGAAGTGTTGCCAAAGGGCCAGGTCCTTAGGAGCCGGGGATTGGGGGTCAGGGGTACTGTTGCTTTAGGAGGTGATGGGCACTTGGGGGTAGAGACGGCGGAGAAGGAAGTCTGAAAAATCACATCCCAGAAGACGGACTCTCCAAGAGAAGCTAAGCCTGGTGCTGTTGGCTCATACCGGTCATCCTAGCTACTTGGGAGATCTGAGGATCATGGTTCAAAGCCAGCCTGGGCAGAAAAGTCCTTGAGACTCTTATCTCCAATTAACCAGCAAAAAGACAGAAGTAGAACTGTGGTTCAAGTGGTAAGACACCAACTTTGAGTGAAAAAGCAAAGGGACAGTGCCCCGGCACTGTGAGCCCAGTATTGGCACACACCAAAAAAAGTGTGTGTGGGGGGAGGAGGAGGTGGACCGAGTTTCTTTTTCTCCTCAGTGAACCAGGCACTGGTGTGTGCAGAGCTTTTTCAGGAGACAATTTATAGGTCTTGTCAGAGGCTTGAAAAAGGTAAAAACGCCCTGGCCTAGACCTGGAATGCCTTAAAGGCGGGGTAGGGCTGGCAGAGCACTCAGCTGTAGAATCTGGGCGCAGCTTTGCTCTTGCTCATTGGAAGGCACGTGAGTGAATGAATGAATGAATGACAGTGGAGAGGGTCTGCAGCCAGCTCTTCTCAGTGACATGACCAGGCGTGGATCTGCTGGACTGAAAGGGACCCTCTACCTGGTTCAATTTTTGCAGGGAATAAGGGAGCGGTGGGAAGTCGGGACCCTGGGGCCATTTCCCGGAAAACAGGCTGGGAGGGAGGGAGGGAGTTCTGGGCACCCCAAGCAAGTAGGAAAAGTGTTTGTGGAGTGAATGAGATGAAGATGGGTAGGAATGCTGGGAGGTCAAACTTGGTGACCAGCACCTGCGGCTCAGACCGCCCCCCCCGCCCCCCTCCCCCCTGCAATGTCTACCACGGCCATAAGGACTAAGTGTCTCATCCTGGCAGTGGTGGGCTGGCAGGGGCTGGCATGGGAAACCCTGCCCCTCCTCAGCCTCTGTCCGCCCTCCCCCCTGTCCCGTCCCCCCGCCCCCCTGCAGCTGGCTCCTACCTGAAGCAGTGGGCCGCTGTGAGGATCCAGAGGGGGTCGAGGATGCTCCCACCACAGACATGCTGCTGATTGTACTGGACGCTCACCTGCCAAGGCCACGAGTCCACAGAGGCCTCCTCCCCACCGACCACCCTGGGACTCTTCAGACTCTTCCCGCAGGCTGGACTCCAAAGCAGGAAGGGAGGATCGGGAAGTAAGGCTCTGGGAAGAGGGGCTGTCCTCTCCTAGAGCCCAATGTCTGCCCTCAGCAAGATCATTAGGCCTGGTGTGGGCCCAGTGGAGAGGCCCTGGCCTATTCTGAATGATTTCTGGGGAGATCACACTGTCTGGTTTTGGCGTTGGGCGTGTTTAGGATTTCAAGCCGTATCTATGGTGCTAGGAATTTATGACCTGCTGACCAATTAGAGATGCAGGATTACCAAAGCCCTGCCCCCGGGGAAGAGTCCCCAGCTGCTCCCACTGAGCGACAGCAAACAGGGGCCCACAAGCCACTTGGGCACCCGGAAGTGGGAAGAAAGTTCTAGAAGCTGGATCTCCCCACCCCAAGTTACTTCTACCTGCTCAGGGAGGCTCCTGACTGGCCATCTTGTTTTCCCTTGACCTGGTTTTTACATTTGACCCTTGAACTCTTCTTTAATACCTCCAATTCCACTTCAGTTCTTTGGGCACCACCCCCTACTCTCCCCCAGAGTCTTTCCCAGGGGAGAGGCTGCCACCCTCTCCCGCCTGCCCAGCTCTGGGCCAAGGAGGGGCCTTCCGAACACCATCCGATTCCAAACCCTTCTTCCGACGTGCCACTCAAAGTCACAACCACTTCCGGTGGCCTCCTGTTGTCTATTCAGCTGACCTGTATGTGGCTTCTGGAATGATCTGTGTATTGTTGGACTGTGTCCCTCAAAGGGTTGTGTGTGGGAGCTTGAGAACGCCCCAGCGGGGGGTGGGGGGGGGCTGGTGGCCCTTAGGTTGCTGAGGGGCTTCTGAGGTCCTTGTGGGATAAGGGGGGCCTTGTGATAGTGAGCGGTTTCAAGGCTCCTCGCTGCTTCTGCTCTGGCTTCCGCTTCGTCCTGTGATCTTTCACTCTTGCTCCTGCCTCTGCTACTGCTCACCATCCTCCATTAGGCGCTCACCAGAGTCCAAATCCATAGAGCTGCCTGATCTCGAACCTTCAGCCTGCTAACTGAGCTACCTCACCCTCTTTTCTTTATAAAGTTAACTTGCCCTTGGTATCTCGTTATAGTAATAAAAACAAATATGTCATGGGCTGTGAACGGATGGTAGAAGGAAGTGCGTAAGATCAACCACAGAAAGGATAATGACCTACAAGTCCAAGGGCCAAAAGAGAGTGAAGCTTGGAGTTCCTGCTTAGGGCTGGCCCATGCCCCAAACCCTCAGAAAGAAAGTGTACTCACCCAGGCATTGCAGAGAAACCAGGGAGCCTGAGACACAGGGTCTGGAAGAGAAACCCAGGGCCCCCGTAGGTTCTGCTTCTCCCTTGGCTGGGAGGCAGCAGCTGAAGCCTTCTGGCACTGCTACGTCAAGTCTGCATAAGAAGGCCTATGTAGAGACCGTGCTAACATTTGGTGCAGTTTGAGCTGATTCAGCCCCATTATTGAGCACCTACTGTGGGCTAGTTCCTGCCCATTTCAAAGCCCTTCCCATAGCTGGAGAAGGAAGAGAACAGCGGTCAAAGCAGAGTCTCCTAACACTGTGGCCTTTCCAAATTCAAAGACAGATTTTGCTGGGGTTTTAGGCAAACAATCATTCTCCCATCAGCCCTGTCTCTTCCAAAATTTACTGCATTGAGTAGGCCGCCCTCGGCCGCATCTCTGAATGCTAAGAAGCCAGCGTCACCCAGCCTCTTTGCTGCAGTGTGAGACAGATTTCCTTTAGCTGCCCTGCTCTGATGCAGGAGTCTGTGTCTCTGGGGAATGGGAAGGAGGCGGTCCTAGCTACTCCTGGACCACCTGGGTACGCGGTGGTGAAGGACAAAGCGACTTTGAGAGTCTTGCCCAATGGGAATCTAAAGGAGTAGCATAAACACACTTGGCTTTGCTCTGCAAGTTGGCAGAAAGCTCGGGTTATTCATCTGCCTGCCTTTGGGTAGGAGGGCACACCGGCCCAGCTGGCCCTTGTATTAAGGAAAAGAGTGGAACTTGCCAGGTGTTGATGGCTCCTGCCTGTCATGTCAGCTATTCAGGAGATCTGAGGATCATGGTTTGAATTCAGTCCATGAGACTCCTATCTGCAATTAAACACACACACACACACACACACACACACACACACACATACACACACACACTCTATAAGTGGAGCTGTAGTTCAAGTGGTAGAGCACTGGCTTTGAGCTAAAAAATTTAAGGGACAGCCCTGAGTTCAAGTCTGGCTAGTTCTTCCTGTTGGCTAGCTTGTATTCCCCTTGCTTTGGAAAGCTCCCAGAAGCCCCCAGGTGGACGATGTCCTCTCACTTACCCACTTGAGTTCTGAGCCTGAAGCTCCTGGTTGTTTTCTGTAACCTGAAGAACAATCAGCTTCTGGTCTGGCATGATCTCCACTGCTCTGAAAGTCGGTTGGCTGCAGTGGAGAGAGAATGGGGAGCTGGGGTGGAGGCTGGGACCAGATGGCCGGGGCAACCCCCATTTCGGCTGAGAAGGTGGGGAGAGGGGAGGTAGGGAGCAGAGGGGGTCTGGGTCAGCGGGCAGTGCCTGTTTTGCAAGAGGATACAGGACATTTCCTTGGCAGTCTAGGACTTAGCACTGGGCACAAAGCCACTATTCTAGAACTCGGAGTTCTGGAGAAATCAAGATCCTCTTTGCTGACATCCAGCTCTGTCCTTGTTTCAGATGTCCCAGAAGTCCCTTCTGCTTTCATCCTGGGGAAGGAGGGACAGAAGCGCCTGGGCGAAGGACTTGAATGTGGATAACCAGTTCTGCGAGAGAGGCAGCCGGCCTGGTTTTGACAGTGGCCCCCTGGGAGAGAGGACGGGACCGGGCCTGCCTGTCTTTAGATGAGTGCAGACCGCTTGGTGCTCCTAAGGTGGGCCACTTTCCTCTTTCCTTTTTGTCAATGGTGTGTATTTTCCTTCAAACCCAGGGGTTGTCTTCCTTCCTCAGGGAAGCCCTCCCTGACTACTCCAGTCTCCATGGCTCTTCCTTTTCCAGCTTGTTCTTTTCTTCCTCACCTCATTTTTCAGGAACAAGGTCTGCCTGTGCGCCTCCATTTTTGCCTCCAAATTCATGCCTGGACCAGACAGTCCCTGGGGTGCCCCCCCCTTGGGGATATCTATGCCTGGAGTCCTTGAGGCCAAAAGGGCCGACAACCCAGGAGGAGGAGAGAAAGGGAAATCTGAGCAGAGAAATCTGTCCCAGAGGAGAGACAGTGCAGAGAAACGGACATTCCCAGGTAAGCTAACCGCTGCTCACCCATGCTAACCAATTAGCGTTTTGAATAATGCTAATGAACTTTGTTTCTGTAGAGTACAAGGAGCTGGGGGGGTGGATTCAGGGCCTCTGTGATCTCGCAGGGGTGGATTACAGGAGGCACCTGGTTCATATCTGAGCGTCAGCTGCTGAGCAGCGCTGGGCAGAGCTGAGGCTGCCGTTGCTGGACTGCAGTGGGAGGAGGGGCTGGCTGGAGTCTGGCAGGGCTGGGACAGCAAGAGGGCAGGGCAGCATGTGTTGGGATGCCCTTCTGCTCCACTTGCTGGGGCCCTTTCCAGAAGGCTCTCCCCTCTCCCAGGGTGAAGAGCAGCAGAAACCTTGTCATCAAAGAGGAGCCTAGAGCAGCTCGATTTGTGATGGCTGCCTGGGGCAGACCTTTGAGGCTGTTAAGGGATCCACGTGGGAGGGTTCTGTGTTTGGCTAGTGATGTCTGCCTGGTGCTGCTCATTTCTGCCTCCGCACTGGGCTCAGTTTTTCTGACTCTTGAAGGAGTTTGGGGCCTACCAGGGAGAGAAATCACAGGGTCTTTCCCACCTTCTCCAGATAGGTTCTCTGATGCTCACTCCACCTCCTTTATAGATAAAGCCCTATATTAGAATTACCCAAGGGACCAAGACAGGGGCCAGGGCTCTAAGCCCGGGCTAGGCTTTCCTCCTAGCCCTCTACCTCCTGGCTTCTTTCTACCTTAGTAACTTAGGAACTTTCTCTGAGCCTACTTATAACAGAGAGGTAATAATAACTGCGCCTTTGGTTTTCTGCCAAGATCAAATGAATATAAATACAGATCATGCTAATTACCCCTCTTATAATTATATAGTCTTCCACCCACTCCAGATTTGGAACTGCATTTGCAATTTGCTGAGAGCTGGGCTTGAAGATGCGAGGCGTGGATGGAGTCAGGCTCATCTCCACCAGTTTCAACCAATGGGATGTAGAGTAAGTAAATCCGGCTGCTGCAAGTCTGGTCTGGGCCAGGGCTGGAATTGTGTGTGTGTGTGTGTGTGTGTGTGTGGTATAGGTGCTGGTGTAAATCCTTACCCCCCTAGATGAGGTTGACATTGTTTCCCCCAATTAACTCTTGGTTTTTTTTGAACTGGCCTAGCACTTACTAGGCAGGTGCTCTACCACTTGAGCCATGCCCCCAGATCTTTTTACTTTAGTTATTTTTTCAAGTAAGGGCTAATATTTTTGCCCAGGGCTGGCCTCAGAGCGACCCATGATCCCTATGGAGCTAAGATGATAGGTGTATACTACTGCCTGTGGTTTATTGATTGAGATGGAGCCTCCATGTACTCGGACTGGCCTCAAACTCGCGTATCCCAATTTCTGCCTTCCTTCCAAGAAGCTGAGGTTATGACGTAAGCCATTGTGCCCTGCTTGCAGTTAACTCTTCAGGAAGCCGGGTTAGAAGATTTAATTTCACATTGCTTGCAAATACAAGTGATGGGGAGGAAGGGGAGCAAAGAGGAAGGAAAGAAAGAGGAAGAGACAGCGGGGCTGGGGGAGGGAGGGATGCCTGCCCCCAGAGGCTTGGTTGGGTACCTGTGATAGCCCATCTGTCCACAGGCTGTCTTGGCCAGGGCTTCTGTGAAGTTGTCAAAACAGGCAGAGGCCCAGTTCCCTGTGACCGGGTCCAGTACTTGTAGAGTCGATCTGTCCTTGGAGAGGCGGACTGGGAGGGGAGGAGGGCAGTCAGCAGGAAGGTAGCACCCCTCTGGCCTAGTTAAGAACTTATGAACCCAGATTCCCTCAACCCAGAACTGGGGCCCTGATGCTTTGAGCGTCAAGAGAAGTTCCTGCATTTGACTTGGTCTGTTTGAGCCTCTTTTTATTTTGTCTGTCGTGGGGGTTGAACTCAGGGCTTGGGAGCTGTCTCTGAGCTTTCCTGCTCAGAGCAAGCGCTCTACCACTTGAGCCACAGCACCACTTCTGGTTTCCTGGTAGTTAATTGGAGATAAGAGTCTCACCGACTTTTCTGCCCAGGCTGGCTTTAAACCATGATCCTCAGATCTCAGCCTCCTGAGAAGTTAGAATGACAGGTGTGAGCGCCTGGCAACTGGCCGGACCTCTTTTTAAATGGTGGCTCAGTTGGGCAAGTGTCTCCATTTGACCTGTTGACCTGGCACCCCTTTTGGCTTCATTGGGTATCTATTACCTGGTCAGTCCCTCCACCTATGGTTCACCTGGCTTGCCCAGAGTGGTGAAACTTCTCACCCAGGGATCAAGGTGTTTCTCCATGTAAGATCAGAGGGGAGTAACATTAAGAGGAGTAACATTAAGATGGCAGCGCCCAGTGGTATTGGGCTTTAATCAATAAAGACCAGATACACAGGAAGGCACTCCGTTCAGCCCCATCACCCTCTCTGAGCCCCCTTTCTCTTCAGAGCTCAAGTATGAAGTATCAAGCTACAAGAGTCTAGTCCAGGAGAGAAGGTGGTGTCTATGCTCAGAGCATCTGCCTTCCTCGGAGGTTGCACAGCACGGCACCATCGCCGCCACCGACCGGCAGGGCCATGGACTGGCTAAGCGGACTTTTCCAGAACCTTTGAACCAAGAGTTTTCAGAGGAAGGAGGACCTCTCCAAGGTCTCGCTCTCCTTCTTGAAACCAAGCAGGGTTAGGCAGGCTCCATTGGGACTTCCTGTCCCCGGGGGCCCACCTCTGTCCTTCGGTGTCCCTGAGCATGTGCCCGTGTGGAGCAGGTGCACGTGTTGTGGGCCTGCTGTCCCAACCCTTATTTGTCTGGAATGGACACTGAGAAGGAGGTGGGCAGATGCCCGCTGTGAGTGCCATGGGCCGATGCCGCACAGGTGTCCCGTGGTGTTTGCCTCTCTGCTCCTTCAACCCCTGGACTCACCTGCCACCGTGGGTCTCTCAGGGAAGTCCTTGACACAGTCTGCCTCGTCCTCTCCCGAGGTGCAGTCGGGCTGCCCATCACACACCTGCGTCCTCGGGATGAAGGTCAGGGGGTGTTGGCAGATGAAGTAGTATTTATTCAGAATCACCTTAACTGGAAGGCAGGGGCAGGACGGGGCGGGGTGGGCCAGAGTCAGGCCTGGGGCAGAGCTGAGCCGCTCAGAGGAGCCCAGGTGATCAGCCCAGTCCCAGGCCTCAGGGGCTTAGCTGTAGCAGCTGGCTCCATGCATACAAGACCGCAGAGCACTGAGGAGCAGACCCTGCCAGCCTTCCGCCCCACAAACACCGGCATGGGGCCTGCGTGGAGAGACAGAATGGGGACCTGGGTCCCAAGATCTGGTTCTGAGTCCTAGCTCTCATGCTTCCTGAACAACTTTCCACCACTCACTAGTCCCTGCTAGGCCTCAGTTTTCTTTGTGCCATGGGGTTTACTTCTAGAGGTTGGTGATTTGATCTGAGATTGAAGACAAAGAGGTATGTTTCTGGTTTTGGGGAGTGTGTGTGTGTGTGTGTGTGTGTGTGTGTAGCTCAGGACTCTGTGGAGTCACCTTCAATTTCTGTTGCTTTTGCTGTCCTGGGCCAATGCGAATGCCTTTAGTCTTCCTAGCCCCTCAATGAACAGGTAGTTCAAGAAGCTTTTTTGGTGAGAACTCACATCCAAATATGCCTGGCAGAGGGAAAGCCCTCTTTCCTAAGTCACTGTCGCCATCAGCACGCCTAAAAGCAGTGGTGTGGAGTCTGTGATGGTCCCCACTGGTCACTGTTCTAGAGCTTTCTGCATTGTTCCTCGTGGTTCATGGCAGCAAGCTTAGGAGACTCACGGCTTCCATCACCAATAGGGAAATGAGGTGGAAAAGATGGGTTTCTGTCCCAAAGGTTCCCCGTGTGCAGGTGGTGCAATTGGTATCTATCCACCTCCCAGAGGAAGCCCATGGGGTGGCCGGCTGGCGTGGATGCCCGGGCTGGAGTGGAGCAAGAGAAGAGAGGGAAGGCAGGTGTTTCCTAGACTTTCCAAGTTGTGAGGAGCCAGGGTTGAGCAGGGTCACCTTCACTATCTGGGACAAAGATAGGAGACGGTGACAGGGTCACCAGTCAAGATCTCCAGAAGCCAGAGGGTTGAAGTCGCCTGGCCCACTGCCATGCATTGGATATGGAATGGTTCCCCAGATCCCGTGTGTGAAAGTCTGCTGCCAGCTGTGCTATTACTGGGAGTGAATGAAACCTTTAGTGGGTGAGGCCTAGTGGGAGGAAGTTAGGTCACTGGTGGGGGGGGCATAGTCTTGTGAAGGGCATTGTGGGACCCTGGCTCCGTCCTCTCTTGATGTAACCAATTGTGTTGTTCCCAGGATGGCTTCATTCACCACAGGCTTTGAAGTAGCGGAGCCAACTGATCCTAGACTTGAACCTCCCACAGCTGCTGGTGCAAGTATAGGCTCCCCAGAGGCCAGCCATCTCGAGGCTGCACAGATTGGCAAATGCATGCAAATCCATGGTCACATTGCTTGCATGACGGTTGCCCACTTTTGAACAACTTTGTTTTTATCTAGGTCTTTTTTTTTTCCACACTAGTTCACTGATGCTTACAATGCTTGGAAAGAGCAGGCAGAGCCAGGATCCCCCTCCTAAAGGCTCTGATTCTGAATTGGGGCCCCAGGCGCCCTCGTGAATGGAAGCACTGTGCAAGTGGCAGCCAGTCCCCTTCTGTGTCATGGCAGGCTGAGGTCGCCAAGGCCTCAGTCCTAGGTGTGGAGAGGAAGAGGGCTGTGGGAATCACTGCAAATTCACTTTACTCTTCCTTGTCACGGAGTGGGCCGTGACCTCAGGCTGAGGTGGGGTGGGGGTGCCACCTGCGTGGCAGCCAGCCCCAGTGCACCCCGTCCTTGCAGCCAACCCTCAGCTGTCGCTCTGCAGAAGGAGGAGGAAGGAGGAGGCGGGGAGTGGGCACCCCTGCCATTGCCTGCGTGGGTTGGTGCCATGTATGTAGACGCCATCTGGGACGGAAGCCATTTGGGGGAGATGGAGGCTGCGTTCACCTTCTCCCCCACGCTCCCCTCTCAGAGGGCCCCCTTCAGAACAGGGGTGCCTATACTTCTTTCCCCTCCTCTCAAAACATATGCACACCCCCTGCCTGTTCCTGTGGGATGGCGGGGGTGGGGCTGTCACTCACGGAGATCCAAGGAGACTGTCACCGCTGGGGTGAAAGCTGGGTAGGGGCTGTCACTTACTGAGGATGGCCACGATGATGATGGTTACCAGGCTCAGCAGCGCCGCGAGGACTGGGACCCCCACCCTTTTGAAGGTCTCCAGGCGGGTGCGGGGCTTGTGCGGTGGGGTGGCATCTGTAAAGGGGTTTGCAGTGGAGGGGAAGAGCCTGAGGTCAGGGTCTGGGCGCTGCCCCTCCCTGGCTAGGCTCCAGATGTCCTACTGACAGTTTTGGCTAATATTGGGGGGCTGTTCCTGCAAGGTGGGCCAGGCAGCAGCCGCAGCGTGTAGCCACTTCATCTCTTCTGCTGCACCAGGTCCGGCCATCTTTCATGAGTGCCACCTTGGCTAGTCTTGCCCTAGGGAGTTCTAGGACATTCTTCCTGTGTCCTGTCTGGTGCTTGACATACATGGGGCCTAAGCCACAGGGACAATTCTTCGGTTCACACCAATTTGTTAATCCTTTTCTCAACTTCCTGACTTAACCTTGAATTTTTTTTTGCTCCAGTCGTGGGGCCTGAACTCTGGGCCTGGGTGCTGTCCCTCAGCTCTTCAGCTCAAGGCTAGCACTCTACCACTTGAGCCACAGCGCCACTTCCAGCTTTTTTCTTTTTGCTTATGTGGTGCTGAGGAATCGAACCCAGGGCCTCACGCATGCAAGGCAAGCGCTCTACCACTGAGCCACCTTCCCAGACCCTTAACCTTTAATTAAAAAAAATATACTTTTGTTTTGAAACAACACTTCGTAATGTATTATGGGAACGGTGGGACATTTCAGTCCACATAGACAATGATGCACATAGTCATTTATCATTGCTTTGTGTTGGGAGAGTTCAAAATCCTCACTACTTTTGTGGTGGTGGTGTGTGTGTGTGTGTGTGTGTGTGTGTGTGTGTGTGTGTGTGTGTGTGTGTGTGTGTGTGTGTGTGTATGATTCTACTGGGGATTGAACTCAGAGCCCAGTACTGGCATGCACACACAAATAATAATAATAATAAATGCAACATCCTAAAACTTCTCAGCCTCATTTCTCACTTTCCTTTCCACAAAGCAGTCATCATGGCTAATATTGGCTGTATTTTGTGTATTTTCTCTACTGTATTTAATGTTTTGTCTTTTTTATTTTTAAGTCTGATATTGGAGCTCGAACACAGGCCCTCGCTCACACTCTTACTTGGCTTTTTCCACTCATAGCTGGCACTCTACCAGTTGAGCCATACCTCCACTTGTGGCTTTTTTTGTACTTGGAAATAAGAGTCTCTTTGTTTTTCCCCTCTGGCCTGGCTTTGAATGAGATCCTTAGATCTCAGCCTCCTGAGTAGCTAGGATTACAAGTGTGAGCCACGGACACGTGGCTCTCTCTATTTTCTGTCTTTTCCATTCCCTCCTTGAAATGAAGCCAGCAGGAAGAGAGAACTTTGTGTTTTGTGCACACAGCTGAGGCCCTGGTACCCAGAACAGTGCCCACTCTATTGCGGATACTGAAGAATTGTAATTGGAAGCAAACAAAGGACTTGTTCTTGGCTCTCTTCTCCTAAAGCACATCCAGCCATCTTTCTTCCAGTCCTTATCTTTTTCTACCTGGAATGAACAGTGCCGTGGGTCTAGCCCTTGCTCTTTCCTCTGTTCTTCAAAAGCAGAGAAAGGCATCTTGCCCAAGTCTGGTGTCCAATGAATGCTGATATCAGCGAATCTGCTGATAAGGAAAAGCTGAAAGCTTGTGTTTCTCTACCTGGCAGAGGCCAGGCCCGGGGGTGAGGACTGGAGGTGGTGCTGCCAGCTAACTGTCAGGACCTGGTATGAAGCAGGCGGGCAGGACTCTTAGCCGATGCATCTTAAAGCTCCAGCAGCCAGTCTTTAGAATTACTCTCCTTCCTATGCCCAGGGACAGGATAGCACTTTGTTCATGTGGTAGCACATAGTGCGGGGTCGAGATGGCAAGGACCATGCTGGGGAGGGGGGAAGGGTTGACTTGGGAATGGAGATTCAGAGGCTGGGGGAGGGGGCAAAGAAAAGCTGGGCCCATACTTACCATGGCTGTTCAGGGGCTGATTACTGTCCAGGTCCTGTAATGGAGGAAGAGCAGTTGAGTGGGAAGTCTCTGAGGAGGGCTGGCAGACTTTGGGCTCTGGTCTGCACGCCTTCCTTCCTGCCACACTGAAGTACCTATTTGACCTGGTTCAACTTGTTTGCTCATGGTAGCAGCTAGTTAGCAATTGTAGAAATGACTGGTTGTTCAGTGGTGTGTGTGTGTGTGTGTGTGTGTGTGTGGTGTTTGTATTGATGAATTCTCCAGATCCGTTCTTCTCTACTCTCTATTTTGGTCAATCTATCTGGTTTTATAGGTAACAATATTTCTGTAAAAACTGGAGTGGACACTTTGCCCAAGTGATTAATAAGGACCAAAAGATGAGCATCTTTTTGGTGGTGCTGGGGTTTGAACTCAGGGCCTTCCACTTGCTAGGCAGGTGCTGTCCCACTAGACCACACCCCCACTGAGGTTTTATTCACCATTACTTATTAGGCAAATGTAAATTCACACCTGATGAGATAGTTCTACCAGACCTCAGCATGGCTAAAGTAAAAAGACTGACAATACTAAGCGTTGGTGAGAATACGGCAAACCTTCATCTATTGTTGGTGGTTGGGGGGAAAAAGGGCATCAAAATGCCTGGCTAAGTCTATCAGTCTTAAACACAGGACTATTTTATGATTTGATGACATAGAAATTCTGCTCCAAGATTTAGCCAAATGAAAGGAATGCTTCTGTCTAATAAAAAACGTGCACACCATGTTTATTGCAGTTTCATTCCTAATAGTGACACACTGGAGAATGCTTACTGGCAACCACCGATGGAGTAGCCAAAGAAATTGTGGTCTATTCATATCACGGAATTTCAGTATAGCCTGGTGATAGCTTCAGTCATAGATTAGCTTGGCTAAATGTGAGGTGCGGCAGGAGACAGGAGGGGGCCGCTGGTGTGATGGCGAGCTAAAGGCCGCGGGCTTTGTCGGTGGACTGGTGCATTTGGGTGTTTGAGAGCAGAGGAGGGACTGGTGGGCAGCAGGCTAAGAGCGTCTGGTCAGTGGGCCCTGCCTGCCAGCTCATTGTTTTTCCTTGAGTCTACTTGTACAGACCTGCCTGCATTCATTGAGTTTGGTGAAGCAAGTCTTGTTTATTTATTTATGATTAATTCAGTGAGCATTGACCACACCCTCTGATGGGCCAGAAATTGTGCTACCAGTAGAGATACAGAGGGAACAAAGCAAGCTTCCAGGGTGCACCGACCTGGGCTTTGGTGCTTATCCCTAGACTCGGAGGTAACTAATGTGCTCTATGTTGGTCCACTGATCAGCGGATGTAGAAAATGCCCTCATGCCATTTATAGCGAGAGGAGGGGAGGGGAAAAACTCAGGCACGCCTGAGCATACTCTGTTGTGACACAGCTATCTTATTTAACCCTTGCGACAACCCTGAGATGTTATCTGCATTTTCCAGAAGAGGAGAAGAAGGGCCACCTATATGAAGTGACTATTATGGCTTCAGAGCAAGAACAGATCCAGTGCTTGGAGCCTGGCCTCTAGAGAACATTGTTCTCAGGTCCCTGAAGTTTCTAGAACCTATTTGGCCAAGAGTCATTAGTGAGATCCTTTTGAGGCTTTGGTCCTCCGCAGTGCAGTCTTGTTGCCCAGGGTGGGTGTGAATGAACACGGAGATCCCATCCCACCCCCAGCGGCTCCCCAGCCCTCCCCCAGTGGCTCCCCAGCCCTCCCTTGCTCTGCTTGGTTCTAGGTTTTGCCAAGTCAGCTAAGAACAGCCATGGGGGACATCTTTCAACCAAGGGGCCTTGTGGGTATTTTTTGATTTTCTTTGCCTTCTTCCCTCTTCTACTGTTTGTTCCTGGACTTTTCCATGGGCAGCTTCTGCTTTTAAACCCCCCCCCCCCCCCCCCCCCCCCCCCAGCCAGGCTATATTTTAGATCCTGGAGAAAGTCAAGTCCTGGGCTATTTGACTCAGCCACAAAATGGCAAATGAACCTCTTACAATCCTGGTTCCCTTAAAGCGCAGAGATCATGAACTCAGATGCCAGGAAACTCTTGTTTTTAAGTGCAGGAGGATTAACTATGTTGTAGAACGGCCGCACAAAGTGATCTATTAGCTTGCTGTGTGGCCTTGGGTAGACTTCTCAACCCTCTGAGCCTCAAGGTTCCTGTCAGGGAGTTGAGCACTCTCAGAAACGGCGAAACAGGAAAAGCGTGAATGATTTTACAGTACAAGCCAGTGTGTAACCAGGCTACTGACGAGGCAAAGAGGCAGCAGCTCAAGGAGGCCAAAGGGGCAGAACCCTGGCCAGCAACTTTGCCTGCTCTCTGGCTAGCAGCCTGCTCCTGGGCCTTGCTGCTCTCTTTTCTCAGCAGAGTTTTTCTCAGCATTGCCTTATTCTGGACGAAGTCAGTAGAGGTAGAACTGGAATGATCGGCTATGGTTGAAGGAGCACAGAAGGGGGGCTTTTCCTGGCCCTGCCCTGGTCGGTGGTGTTTTCAGGCTCCCATGGGCCCCAAGGCCTGACTTCCCATGATCTCCAAGGGAAAGCCAGCAATGCCACTGTTGCTAGGCAACGGGATACACAGGTCCTTGGAGGCTCTGTCAGCTGGGTTGCTGGGGCTGGTGGCAAGGCAGTGGGTAAAGCCCAGGGGAGGGGAGGGGTAGGAAACCTTCTCTGCTGAGCCAAGACACCCCAGGCTGCTCTCCGTCCTTCTAAGGAGTGGGGTTCGGGCCTCTCGGGTACCACAGACCCCCTAACCCGCACTTCATCTACCCTGTTGTTGGCAGCAGTGCATCCCCTCTGAAGTGGGGGCAGGAGGTTTGATGCTTTCAGGCGGGTCACAGGACCCTGCCTCATTGATACCTCAGCCATGACAGGTAAGGGGACTGGAAGGGACACAGAAGGCTGGGAGGGGCTGCACTTCCCAGGGTGAGTGTGGCTGGGAAATCTTGGAAGATTTCAGATTCAGCAACCATGCCAGCTTCCACCCAGCCCTTTCTCCAGGCAGGTCCCCCACCCCAAGCTAGGCACACAGAAGATTCTGGAAGCAGCCTCGCACACTCTGCCTTCCAGAGGCACGTTTCCCTTTCGTCTAACCTCAGCCTCGGCTGCTACATTGGAAACCATTTTGTGTTGTTTTCTAAGCCACGTAGGTGCTGAGCAGCTGGCAATGTGAGCTGGCCACCTCGGGCTCAGCCTCCATGGCGGGGCCTGGGGCCGACAGATAGGAGGTGTCAGCTTGCCTTTATCCTCTGCCAGTCTGCCGTTTAGCTCTGTCATTTAAGATGGCGCTTTTGTGTTTGGGCAAGGCTCTGGAAAGCAGGTAGGACTTGGGGAGAAGGTGGAGAGGGAATGCTCCCTTTTTTGCTAGTGGAGCAACGGAGGCACAAGGGTTCTGCTCTTTCCGCTCAAGCCATGCGGCTGGACAGGGAGAAGCGCAGGAGCACAGGTCCTGGATGACGCCAGGCTCCCAGGTTTCTAGCATATTCTCTCAGCCTCTTCTCTTGTTCTGGATGGGGATGGGGGCGGGGGCGGTAGGGAGAGGAAGAAGTCCATTCTTTCCTGCCTTTCTGCTACTGGATTTTTCTAAGTTGCTTAGCCTTCCCTGGCCTGTGCTTTGAACGGAGGAGTTCCATGAGTGGACATGGTGCTTCTGCTCCAGTTATCCAGCCTGAGGAGAAGGCCACATCCGGTTCGAGGAGGGTCTGCCCTGGGGCTCTGTTCAGAGGCAGGAATGGCCTCTCCCTTGTTCTGGATGCATGGGTGATACCCAGCACTGTGGACCCTTTGGTTGCTGCAGCCAGTCTCCTGGCAAAGGCCTTAGGGGCTTTTTTTTTTTTTTTTTGGTTGGTTGAGGGGCTTGAACTCTGGGCCTGGGCGCTGTCCCTCAGCTTTTCAGCTCAAGGCAATGCTCTACTGCTTGAGCCATAGCGCCACTTCCGGTTTTTCTAGTGGTTCATTGGAGATAAGAGTCTCATAGACTTTCCTGCCTGGGCTGGCTTTGAACCGTGATCCTCAGATCTCAGCCTCCTGAGTAGCTGGGATGACAGGCTTGAGCCACTGGTACCCGGTTTCTTGATGGCTTTCCTGAGAACTCTGAACTCAGAATCCAATGAAAAGTGCTTCTGTGGTGTTCTAGAACCTCTGTACATGATTACTTCTGGGATCTCTGTGCATGGTTATTTCCAGGACCTCTATGCACGATTACTTCCGGGATCTCTGTGCACGGTTATTTCCGGGACCTCTGTGCATGGTTACTTCCGGGCTCCCTGTGCATGATTACATGGTGGTTGCACAACTGCGGTTCCTCTCCCACCTTCCTACTCTCTTGCACAATGCTGAAAATACCTCATGAAGTTTCCCCTCCCCGCCACGCCACTTGCTAAGCGAGAGCATGGGTCACCTTGCCTGGAACACAGGTACTGCCACTATTTAACCGTTGAGTTGACTTCATGTATGAATGAGAGACAGGAGACAGAGAAACAGAGACAGAGACAGAGAGAGACACATTCAGAGAGGAGACACAGAGGCCCAGCGCTAGAAGGCATAGACAGAAATGGCGAGACAGACACAGTGGCAGACATGAGACAAAGCACAGCACAGAGACACGAGGACAGACACACAGAGAACAATTCATGAAGGTGTCCTCTCAGCGAGTCCCGAATATGTAGAGCATGTAGCACATGATCCGGTGCAGAGTAATTGCAGAAACTGTGCTAGTAACTAATAACAATAAGAATGATAATATAAATAACACTTTATTCCTCCCATGAGGGGCTCTTGGAGAGCTACACACCATCAGTGAAGAAGAGCCAAAGTTTTGGGGGCCAATGAAGCAGGGATCCCATTATTGTCCTGAATAATTAATAACAATATTGAGCTAGAACCTGGCCAGTACTTGACATAGTAGATACTCAAAACATATTCATTATTAATGGTGAAGAGCTTCACAGAGGGCCTGGCGGGAATGTGATGGGGGTTGAAGAGATGGGAGCTATTTTGGTGATTTCATAGGCCAAGGGGCCTGACATGGGGAAGGAGGCTATGGACTGAGTATGTCAGGGGAGAGTGACCAGAGCGGTTTAGGGGACTTGGCGTGACGTCATGTGACCAGTGTAAATGCTCTCTGAAGAGAGGGCTGAGAGCGCAGGCCAGAGACCAATACAAGGACAAGGATAAGCACTGTCCTTGAAGATGGATATAGAATTCGTAGGATGAAGCCAGAGAACACTCTGAGTCCAACGTTGGAGCAGGTAGTGGTTGTGGAGGAGGGGGCTGGGGGAGTTATTTCCAGAAAAGGGAGATACGTGAGAAGAAGTTGGACTGTGTGTTTCTGCAGCCCACTGGGCCAGTCCAGGTAACTAGCTCAGTTGGCGATTGGGTGGGACCTCAGCAGGCTTAGGGGGTGGGGCAGGGGTGGGTGTGGCTTCAGCCTTTCAAAAGGGACGGCTCTATTTTCTGTTTTGTAGAGAAAGGTTCTAAGGTTCTTCCCTTTGTCTGTGACCCAGAAAGCTGGCCGGTAAGATGTGGAGACACAGTCCAGTGACAATTTTTTTTTTCTCTCTCTCTCTCAAAAAAAAAAAAATCAGCCAGGTTCTGGTGGCTCAAGCCTCTAATCCTAGCTACTCAGGAGGCTGAGATCTGAGGATCACAGTTCAAAGCCAGGCCTGGCAGGAAAGTCTGTGAGATTCTTATCTCCAATAAACTACTCAGAAAAAGCCAGAAGTGGGTCTGTGGCTCAAAGTGGTAGACCGCTACCCTTGAGCAAAGACAACTCAAGGACAGTGCCTTATCCCTGCCCCACAATGGACAAAAAAAAAAAAAAAATCCGTTTTCTATCCTTAATAGTCTTGGGGATGAAACTTTATCTCAGCCTTCTTGAAAGTCTGTTAACTGAGTCCACTGGTCACCTTTTTTTAAAGTTTATTTTATTTTATTTTGTCAGTGATGGTGCCTGAACTCTGAGACTGGGCACACTGTCCCTCAGCTCTTCAGCTCAAGGTTAGCGCTCTACCACTTGAGCCATAGCTCCATTTCTGGCTTTTTCTGCTTATGTGGTGCTGAGGAATCGAACCCAGGGCCTCATGCATGCAAGGCAAGCGCTCTACCACTGAGCCACCTTCCCAGCCCCACTGCTCACCTTTTATCCATGTGTTTGCTTTGTGCTCCCTGCTTTGTGACCTTTTTACTTTTTCTTTTCTGAGCCAGTTCTGGGGCTTGAACTCAGGGCCTGGGTACTGTCCCTGAGCGTTTGGATTCAAGACTGACCCTCTACACTGAGCTGTGGCTCCACTCTGAACTTTAGCAGTTAATTGGAGATAAGAGTTTTTCCTGCCTGGCTTGGCTTTTAACCATGATCTTCAGATCTCAGCCTCCTGAGTGGGTAGGATTTCAGGCATGAGCCACCAGTACCAGGCTTACTTTGTGACCTCTAACTGATTACTGAAGGATGGAGTTTTCTGAAGGAAATCACCTTGTCTTTCCTTTATCTTGTGATGCAGGCTGGTAAGAACTTCACTCAAGCCAGGTTCTGATTTGAAAGCTACCAGCTTCAAAAGAGAAAAGTAGGGTGTCTTGGTCCTGCAACTGTTTGGGCAATTCCGTCTGTATCTATGGAGCAGTGGAACTGAGAGCTGAAACATATCACATTCTTCTCTGAATCTCCCAGTATCCTGCCAGTACCCAGTCCATGGTAGATGCTCGGGAACCAGTATAGAATGAATGAATGAATGAATATGGTAGCCAGTGGATTTTGACCAAAGGACAATTTAGACGACAGGAAATACCCCAAGCCGTGGGCAAAGCCCAGCGTGGCTGATATACAGAATGCTTCATGACTAAAGATGCTGCCACAGTCCCTGGCCAGGGACCAGATCAGTCTCTCCCCCTCTTCTCTTCCTCCAGGGTTCCTTTCCCCTATTACCTAGAAGAGTTTCGGCTTGTACGTGGATTACGCCAGGGAGCTGCAGGGAGGGAGGGGTGGCGGCAAGGGGGTGGGGAGGCCTGTGGTAGGGGAGGGTGCTCAGGCTTGAAGTCTTGTTTACCCATTTTCAGCTGATGCCATTGTGATGGTTGGTTAAGATGGCAGCCTGGGGGTGGAGTTAAACAGGGCTAAGGGAGATTGCCACACTGGCCCTGCCTGACTCTCCCTTTTTCCTGTTGATAGGGTTTCTAGCAGGCTCGGGCCTGTCCCAGCCAACTTCAGCTCCTGTTTTCTGGGATGAAAATACTCTGGTCACATCATGTGTATGTTTGCATTTGGAACTATAAAAAAATTGGATGTAATGAACACTGACCTTCAGTGTCCCATAGAAAGGAAGTAGTTACATGGGATTTAGTCTTAGATTATTATTTTTTTTCCTGTCTTGCATTCATTTCTATACATTTACCAAGTACCTGTAGCTAAATGATGGAGGAAACATAAACCTTGTCCACATGAAATTCAGGTAGGCCTGGTGTGGGCGATTCACATCTGTCTTCCTAGCTCTGTTCAGGAGTCTGAGATGTGAGGAATCATGGTTTAAAGCTAGCCTGGGCAGGAAAGTCTAACGACTTGGAGTTCTAATTATCCAACGCAAAGCAGGAAGTGGGACTGTGACTCAAGTGGTAGAGCACCTACCTTGAGTGAAAAAAGCTCAGGGACAGCACCCAGGTCCTGAGTTCCACCCTAGTTCTGGCATATACATCCAAAAAGAAATAAGAAAGATAAGCGCATTTGAAGGGTAGAGACGCTCCTTGTCGGGGAACCATTGGGAACTTGAAGTGTTTTGTGAAGACTAGACAAGATGGAAGGCTGCGAGCAGAAGAGGTGCCTAGGAAATTGGAGGCCAAGCAGATTTTCAGGCCTGGAAATAGAGCTCCTACTCAACCTCCCCAGGCCCACAAGGCGGGGCTGATACTGTCTCCCAGCTCCCACCTCCCATTGGTCCATCTCCCTTCTTGATTGACAGTGGCTGCGTGGTTATTTGATGACTCTCTCTCTCCTCCCCACCTGCTACTCCCTCTAGAGCCTGAGCTGCCCTGGAACAGGACCAGGGGGATGTGCTTTCACCCATGAGTGTATCTTTGGTGCCTGGCACAGACCACGCGTGCCCCCCTTTGTGCAGTGAGAGGGCGGAGTTAATGCCAGGTAGGGAAGATTGCTTATGCTCAGCCTGGTCCCAACTGAGCTCTGAGGCACAAGGAAGACCCGAGCCTGAGCTCATGAGGGGTGGGGGCTGTGTGACCCCCTCATGGGTCAGCCCGTGCCCTGTCTGCTCTCTAGGCTCTTGGCTTCAGCCACAGCGTGCTGTCTCTTGTCCTTACGATGCTACTCTGTCTTACTAGCCACAGGCTGTCCCCTGTGTCCAAAATGCCTTCCTCGCTTGTCTGCCTAGAGAAGAGCCTCATCCTTTGAGTTCCCAGGCAAGCACTTTCTCTTCTGGAGAGGGGGGTGGTACTTGCCACTTACCCCGGGGGAGAATCGGCCTTCTTGGCCCCAGGGTAGCACCTTGAGGTCACCCTGGATCATGCCCAACATTGTTTTGGGAACCTCCAAGGCAGAGAGTAAACATTATTCCCTTCTTCCCCACTAATCTGCTGGTCAATGGCACTGGCTGATCAATAAATGGTGGCCAGGGTAGATAGAGATCCAGGAAAGCAGGAGTTTGTTTGTTTTGGTGCCGATCCTAGGGACTGAACTCAGGGCCTGGGCGCTATTCTTGAGATTCTTTTTCTAATAGAACTCTTCTCACTTGAGCCACAGAGCCACTTTGGGCTTTTTCAGAGCAGTTTATTGGAGGTAAGTGTCTCATGAACTTTCCTGCCCAGGCTGGCTTTGAACCATGATCCTCAGATCTCAGCCTCCTGAGTAGCTAGGATTACAGGCGTGAGCCACCCGCGCCTGGCTCTCTCTCTAGTCTTTGCATGGCATAACTCTGTTTACCACCATAGACTCCAGCCTGGCACCTTCCAGATAGAAGCTTCTGGGTTCCAAGCCTCAGCTGAGGGGGCTCTGTTGACTTGCTGCGTTCCAGCTCCAGCCAAGCCCTGCTAAACTTTTTGGGTCAGCACCAGATGGTATAGAAAAGAGACAGAGGGAGGCCCCGCCCCTCCCAGCAGGGATGAGTGCCAGCCAGATGGCCAATCAGAAGTCCCCATTTTCCCTCCAGGCCTCACTATGGATAAATATGACACGCTCCCCCAGGGACGGACAGAGGACTCTGACTTTCACCCAGGGCAGGGGCCAGGCTCCAGCTCTCCAAACAGGCTCAAGGAGAAACCATTACTAGGAGATGGCACTGTGCAACACTCTGTGCCCAGGAGGGGCCTGCAGAGGGGAGGAGGCTGGAGAGGAAAGGCAAGGAGGGCTGAGCCTGACCAAGAGTCACCCCACCTCCTTCCCAGGGCCAGGAGCTATGCTTGTCCCGGCCTCATTAGTGAGAAAGGACAGGTTATTAACACAGGTAATTAGTGGCTTGCTCAGGGCTACATGCTCCCTTGATCCTGCCCTAAAGGCCGGCCAGGCTGCTGCCTTCCCTTCCAGACGGCCTGAGTCCTTCCCCACACTGTGCCCGCCAGCCTCCCTCCCTCACATAGCGATGCCCAGCTCCTTCTCTGGGTGGCAGAGGGAGATAGGCTGAGACTCTGCAGTGGTTTCCCCTTTAGGAATCTATTCCACATCCTTCTTACATTGGCACAGGAGTTCTTGGTTTATAGAGGCTATTTACACGCATTAGCTCACTAAATCTCTCCACTCATCCGTGTGTGTGTGTGTGTGTGTGTGTGTGTGTGTGTGTGTGTGTGTCCGCATGCGCATGCGTGCCTGGGGAGTGTTGTTAAAGTCTCAGGACCGCACAGGGGGCCGGTCTTGTGGCGCATGTTGTACACTGTTTGGCCCTGTAATTTGCCTTAGACGCTATTCCCTGAAGGGGGTCCTCCAGTCTCCCCAGTGCCACCCCATGAGCAGCAGCACCTGCCAGCCTGTGCCCGCTGCTCCTCTCTTCCCTTGGCTACCCCTGTGTCTCCTGGCACGGAGGATGGGTTTTTCCCACCCTGACTCCACATAGCAGCATCAAGCAGGCCAGCCCCTCCCTCTGTCTGCTCTCAGTCTTTTTACCAGCGTGGGGAAGTCCCAGGGTGGGAGGGAGGAACTGGCCACTGGAGGCCCAGCCGGCTGCCTCTTTCCCCCCTGGGACAGCCCTTCCCTTCCCCTCTCCTTGCCCTTTGGTTGCTGAGCAGTGGCTGCTACATCTCGCCCAGGATTGGAGAATGATGATCTGAATCACTGTCCATAGGGAAGGTGATGGGGAAACGAAAAATAATAGCTACAAAGAGGCCCAGACTAAAAAATTAAGATAGAACCAGGAAGTAAGAACTGAAAAATCAGAGCGGCGAGCTCTCCTCCCATCTTTTCCTTTTAGATGTCGAAGGATAAGAACAGGGGGACGGGAAGGGGTGACCCATGTCTGCTCTCTCCTTTGAGGTATTCAGAAGCTGCCAACTGTCTACATAGCCAGGGAGAAAGCAAATTGGTTCCTTCCTAGTTATTGTCCCTGCGTGTTGGATGACAGAACCTGTCACCTGTTGCTACCCTGACCACAATGCCGACTCCGCCTTATCTCAGGAAGTATAGAGACGGTGCATGCCAGGTACACTTTTGAGTCTTCACGCTTATTTCTTGTGTGAGAATCAGGACTCGTTTCCCCTCCCTTTCTGTATTTCTCTTTATGTTTTACTCTTTTACTAAAATAAAGCCTTGCGAAAGCTCCCACCTTGGGACACTCTCCCTTTTGTGGGACAGCTTGAACCATTTTTCACTGGGGAGCCCTGGTCCCCCTCGCCCCCCCTGCCCTGTGGTCTTGAAAGGTGGATCGCATTTCCTTGCCCAAGGCAAGCAAGTCATAAGGTCATAAGGAGGAGGAAGAGGAGAGGAGGAGCGAACTGGGAGGCCATGGAGAAGATTTTGAGATTATTTGGGGGATCTCTGTCCTGTTTGATTGCCAAAGAAAAGTCACATTTCCCCCTTGGGAGAGGTGGAGAGGCACCTGGCACCAGGGCCAGCCAGCAGACCCGGGGCACTGCACAGGGGCGGGCAGGAGTCAGGAGGGACTGACTGGCCCCGACAGCCCTGGCTTCTGTGCCCAGCTCATGAGAAGATGGTTAGTAATGGAGAGGAAGGGAGGCCGGTGGGGTAGCAGGCAAGTAAGGGGCTCATGTTTACAACTTTGAATGTTACCAAGTCTTCAGGCTTGTTTTATGGGGAGAGCACCCGCCCTCAGCATGGAGGCCCCCCCTCCCCCCACTCCACTCACCATGCTGCCTTGTGGATCCTCCTACAGTCCCAAATGGAGGTCTGCCACCACAGCAGGAGGAGGAAGGGCTCCGATGGGCCCTGGTCAGCACTGACCGGAGGAGGCCTGAGTGCAGGGTCCCCCTTGGCTCCTTCTAACCGGCATCTTCTCTCTCCAGCAAGCTGTGACCTCCCGCCACGGTAGTCCACGGGTGACCTGGGGACTGTGGGGTGACTTGACTCAAACAACCCCACAGGTGAAGTTGTCAAACTGGAATGATTATGTACCTTGTAACCTGACACCCATCCCAGGGGCTGGCACAACACCCAGAGTCATTCCTGGGCCCTACAGCCTCAGAACAGGTGACACACCTAAAAAGTTACAAAAGTCCGCCCTGCCCCTCCCTGCAATGGCTTCCACCAGCTGGGCGTTGCTCTAGGCTAGGTGGTGGCAGGCAATCTCTCTCTCTCTCCTTGCTGTTTGCCTGTGGGATTTCTCACCATGTGTGTGCTGGAGCTGGAGGAGTTGAGTCAGGGTGACAGAATTTTCTGCTCTACAAAACGGGCCGATGGCACTATGTGCGGAGCAGCAGATTGGGGCGGAGGGGGGGCAGCGTCCTTTTGGGGGATCTGGGAAGACTTGCTGGGAAGACTAGCATTTCCCTGGCCCCAGGAGTGAAGAGGTGGGGTCTAGGGCCCATGTGGAGCTTCCTGCCCAGGGTGCCCACTCAGTCTTAACACTTATTGGATGAGTTAATTTACACCATTGAGTTTCACAAAGGAGTTTTACTGTGGTAGTTACATCCATGTGATGTGCTTTATCAACATCCAAAGAATGCAGATTTCTATTGTAGATGTACAAGTTAACTCAATTTATATGCATCTTTTTAAACTCCTCTCCCTATACATCCCCCTCTTTTTAAAAGTTTTTAGTAGATCTCATTGTGCTATTGTTTTGTCTGTCTGTCTGTCTATCTATCTATCTATCTTTAATTATATTCACTACCCCCATCTACCCTGTTACCTTCTTTCCCACTACCTCTGATTCCTCTCCCAAACAGTCCACCTTTTACAATATGTCATCATTATTACTATTGATATCATTTTATTTTTTATTTATTTTTCTCTGGACAAAGGGCCTAGATGCTGTCCCTGAGCTCTTTTGTTTATGGCTAGTGCTCTACCATTTTGAGCCACAGCTTCACTTCTGGTTTTCTGGTGGTTATGTGGAGATAAAAGTGTCATGGATTTTCCTGCCAGGCTGGCTTTGAACCATGATCCTCAGATCTCAGCCTCCTGAGTAGCTAGGATTACAAGTGTAAGCCACCAGCACCCAGTTGTTCCTCACTTTTTTTTTTTTCAAGACTAGCACTCTACCATTTGATCCACAGTTCCATTTCTGGCTTTTTAGTGGTTAATTGGAGATATGTGTCTTATGGACTTTCCTGCCCAGGCTGGAATCAAACCAGATCCTCAGATCTCAGCCCTCTGAGTAGCTAGGATTATAGGCAGGAGCCACCAGTTCCTGGCTTTCTTCTTCTTCTTCTTCTTCTTCTTCTTCTTCTTCTTCCTCCTCTTCTTCTTCTTCCTTCTTCTCCTCCTCCTCCTCCTCTTCCTCCTCCTCCTCCTCCTCTTCTTCTTCTTCTTCTTCTTCTTCTTCTTCTTCGTCTTCGTCTTCGTCTTCGTCTTCGTCTTCGTCTTCTGCTAGATGCTGCATTTGTCTTTCAGAGTTTGTTTGGTTTTATCCATTTTCCTGCAAATGACATGCGTCTCACTCTTTTTTATTACTGTATAATGCTCCACTCTGCATATGTCCCACATTCTCTTTATCTGCTCATGCATTGTTGGGCACCTGTAGTGATAGATTATAGCTCTGCTCTAAGCAGGGGCATGCCAGTTTCTCCATTGTATTTGTACATTCCTTCAGATGCATGCCCAGGAGTGGAATAGGTTATCATCCTGCTAAGTCTTCTGGTTTTACTTCTGTAAGCATTTTATTTGATCCACCTGAAGTCCATCTTCATCTATAAAGGGAGTAGTGATAGTACTTCCTTCATCAGGTATTTATAAGAATTAAATGAGATAATCCATGGAACATACTTAGCATCTAAAAGTGCCTTTGTGAATATCCATTTCCCTAACTGTGTGTTTACTGAGCCAGCAGCGCCTCTTTTCACTAAGTACTTCTGATTAGGAGTGAAAAGACCTGAGCTCTGAATAGACACAGGGAAGTAGACTGG